TGGGAAACCGATCCGCATAAACATGTGCCATTTTTTATTTCGTTTGAGCCACGCGACAGACACCACTATTCACTACCGACGGACACTGACTGTATACAACTGAATGAAATAATTGTAAAAACATCGTTCCAAATTCTTTCGCTTTTTTGTTTCCGATGCGGTGAACCGATAAGGCGGATTATATCCGTTGTCGCCAAACACGAGCACATAATATTATTATTGAGACAGGGCGGTACTCAAACTTCCAAAGGGCTATAACTTTGTTACTTTAATTTTACCAGAAAAATGGTAAAGGAAAACAACATTTCTTTTGATCAGATCTACTCACTGTTAAAATAAATGACTCAACTTCGAAGTCACCCTGTATAGGCTATATGCTGATTCTCGTATAGTTCGCTACGGCAAAGGCTATGAGACTTAAACCTTTTCAGAGTAGATTTCTAATTAGTGCAGAGAGGAGAAATATATAGTTATGCAATTCTCATAGATGAGGCTTCGGTTAATATCCGACCGAAGCAGTTTCGGTCCAAAAGTTTCGATTTCGACAGAAAATGCATCGAAACCAACTGAAACCAAAACTGTGTTCGTATGTTTTCGGGCGCCTTCGGGCAAATTTATTCAGACCAAATGTCAAACTTGCCAGGGAAAAATGTTGAAAAATTTTTTATGTGATTAAGATGGTAGATAACTCACAAAGTATTGTGAGTGTGTGTGAATTAGACGGTATTTAACCTCCAAAAATTATGTTAAACGCCTTTTACAAAATTTTAAACTGTGTTAAGGTACTTATGCATATGAAATCTTCAAATTAAACTAGCTTTCCGCCTAAACTAAGGTTAAATAGTATTGATGCAACAGGCCATAAGTTTTATTTTTGTTTTATTCTGTTTTTTTTTTACAAAATGTTTGAAACAAAAAGACATTATTTATTTTGTACTCTAAGAGACAAATGTAATAGTGTTTTAGTCTTTTACCTAAGGGCCGTATCATCAGTCGTTCCTACAATTATTGTAGGACGGCTTTATAGCGTTCTTGATTTGTATAGTTTTTTACTGTTCCGAGTCAGCGCTGTATTTTGAGGTTATGTTACAAATGTATATTTGCATCAAATTGTTCATGCTTTTGATCAATATCATCTGTTATATCTGTCTGAAATGTCTAACAATGCAACAAGAAAACATAGCCTTACAATATGAGAGTGCTGACGCTGACACCGGACAGTAGAAATCTACAAATACCCTAGCCTTTCTGAAGGAGAGAAAAGACTATGAAAATCAAGAAGGCCATAAAGGCGTCCTACAATAATTGTAGGAACGACTGGCGATACGGTCCTAAGTCTTAATAATATTTGATAAACACTGATTATTACAAATTACACAGAGTTTGTTTCATTTTTCTTCAATAACCTATTATTATTACTAATATTAATTGATAATGACTCGGTTTGTTTTTTCTGGGATATTACCTCCCAACCTTCCATATCATACTCCTCAGTTGGAAGTTTCAATTTTGGCCGATACGGGAATAGGGCGAAAATTTCAGTCTCGTTTTGGGCTGAAATACTAGTTTCGGTCGGACACTAGCTACGGTATATCATTTCTTTTTTAAAGTGTGTTAGGTTTGTCATCTTCAGGCATAACACGTTAATTCAATGATTTTACTTAAAATTCGAACCGCACGCATCATTTTTAAATACACGCGCGTCCTCCATTTTCTTAAGTCTGATGACAACCACCCTTTTTTCGAAAATCGGACGGCATCACTTTCACCGTTTTAGAAAATTAGTTTATAGTCGCGATTTTTAGGACTTGAAAAACCCGCCATTGGTGAACAGTTCAACATACAGATCGCTTCAGAATGGAATGTAAAATAAATGTTTATCCAATGCGTTGCCAAAACATTTTCGTGTCAGGTAGCTGTTGTTACAAAACCTCAAAACATATTCATCATATTAGCTGCGTTTCCACTCCAACGTGTTATTGGAAAATGGAGCGCCGTTAGAACAGATCCTAAAAAGATTTAGCACCATTCACAATTTAGCAATGTGCACGCCCAAAGCAAAACCATTATTTGGGAATAAAGAATAAACTAACGCATATTTTCAATATACATTTTAATCCAAGGAACTGGTGTAACATATATTTTCAACGCGGCAGATCGCAGCGTTGCTACGCAATGTGATGATGAGCTTCGCTATCCAGCCGGCTTCTATCTCTTTCTAACATATGTGTCTATACATACTTCTCTCTCGTACACATTGAGCTCAAACCGTCTGACAAATTTGGTTTTCTGGGTATATATTTTTCTTATTCAGTACTGTTGCCGGAATTTGTAAAGCTGGATAAGCTTAATTAAAAAAAATCACGTTATAAATATATATTGCTGGGACAGTGCGTGCACAGAGCGGCATTTATATACAGACCAAAGAATACTACTTTTAAAATGGCGGATGTTCGTAATCTTTTGGAAGAGGCTATTAAGGGTGCAACTGGTAACACGTGGTAGAATTGCATGAGGCAATTGGACCATTCCATAGAGCAGAAAATCGAACCAGTGATAATTACCTGAAACGACAGTGACAGTTCCTGCTCGAATAATGGTGAGTCATAAAACCGCAGCGCAGCCATTTGTTCAATTGAGTATTTATTTATATTCATTATCATATTATTATGTATATATTATTCATATTCGTTTTATATTTGTTTTTAATTTTTTGATAATCAGAATTTATTGATTGATTTTTGTGAGTCTTTCAGTTTCAGCACCATAAAGATGTCTTCGCGAGATCCCGCAGTGAATGGAGCGGGGACAGATGGAATTTCCCCCTCTTATCGAAGTTTTGACAGTTTGAAGTTAAACCGGGAAGATGTTGCGCTCCTTGATAAACTTAGCTGCTTCCTGATCATTTTTATGCAAAGTATATATCAATAAAATTTACGGTTTGATATGACATGTTTGGTTCCTATATCTATGATGACCACATAGTCTTCTCCCTCGGCGTCATTTAAAATCAAGTGAATCTGTTCCTCCATTTTCTTGATTTATAATTTAATACTTTTTAACTCAATTTTCGGCACTGCGAAGACAAACTTTCAATTGATATCTGCTTTTTTAAATGACATTCAAATAAGACCTGTCATCCGCTACGTTGGGCGGTTAACTGTACCACGTGATTTTACATTTGGATAACGTCACAACCGGCTTCCCCTATTCCCTTTCTCAGCGAAAATTTAAGTATTAGTTCCAGCACGGGTATTATGTAAAAACCTATAAAACGTCAAAAAAAAACCTATAAGATGTCATCTTGCAGACTAGGTAGTTTTTAGGGCGCAAACTGTCATTCCACGTTTGCTCACTAGGATCGTTATGAACGTCCATCTATGGAGGAATCACTCAACTAAAGTACACGCATTATTGGTTGCATATGTTTTGTGAGGCCAAGTGGTCCGTGTCTGTAGTTTTTATCTCTGCGAAGAAAGTTGTTCCCGACGGGTTATTTGTATGTTGTGCTTTCTGAAGAGAGGTTATGTTCAAAGTTATAAATTACGGAAATCATCACCGCGCTCGCGTTGTGTATAATTACTGTTAGCATATATATGGCTTGTAATTCGACAGTGTACAGTGAATATAATTATTTCTTATCTCTCTCATTTTTGAAATTTAGCAAATTTGTATACCTATGTAATTTCCAGAATGGATAAGAAAAAATGGCTGCGCAACTACTTTCTAGGTTTGAATCTCAATTAAGTGTATTTGAGACAAGAATCCAGTGGAATTATCATCAACACACAACATACAACTTAGACCTCCAGTAATGCCATCTCTGAAGCAGATTTTACATCACATCAGAGCAAAACATTGATAACTGAAGCTTCATGACATTTAGGCAACACGTACAACTGAGTGCTAAGATAACATCTTGTAGAAACACCTACATAATGTCAAAAAAAACAGTATGTCAAAAAAATCGAATATAACGTCACTTTTCAAGATACATGATACCCGTGCTGGTACTGTACTGTGTTACAACATGAAATCGCGAAAAAATTCATCATGACAACAGTGATGTGCAAATGAAAATGAACTGAAAGCTTTACATCATGACTTTGTCCGATATAGTTCCTGACTCGTCTATTATGAAACCAGCAAAAATGGTAATGCATGATGGTACCTATAGTCAAAATCACGAAAGATGACTATTACGTCATACCATAAATTGTACTGAAGTAATCAATGGGCGCACGTCGATGATAAAATCACGATGTCAGGAACAATGACAACAAATTTGTATTATGATTGTGCGAAGTTAGGTTATTTCACTGATTATCGTTATTTTCATTTTATTTCATGGTTTTGAGTGCTACCTTAATAATAATTTTAGTGGGGAGATTTGTTTTGAAAAAAAAAACAGTTATGAGTAGAATACCTTGAGATAGGAACACCAAAGGCCAAAGTATTATTCGAAAACAACCTAACCTGCTTTAACATAACCTAACTATTCATCTTTCAAATATGGTCGATCATGGAACATAAAAACATCGTCTATCTTTGTCGGATACATGCAAATTAGCAATACCGTAAAGTGGGGCTACTTTGTAACACTTTTTTAGGTTTTTTGATGATTTATTTCAAATTGTTTGAAGTATTATAATTTATGATATGCCACGTTATAGCCCAATCTTTTTTCTATCTCAAGTAGAAAATGTAATTCAATAAATGTTATAATGTTCGAGAAAATGACAAAAAAAGTTGTCACAAATTAACCCCATAGGTTGGGGTTACTTTATGACATGCAGTTTTTGTAACTATATCACAAAGAAACACACATGCTTTGTTTGAAAAAATAAAAAGTATATATATTTGAGAGAAAAAACATATATTTGAGAAAAAAACACATGCAATTTCCAAAAAGAAACTCTAATTGGCATTAACTAGGTATATAAGGTTAGGCTTGAAACAACAAAATGTTTATTATTACAAACATTATAAAAAATTTATTGTTACTCAAGAATGTCTTTCAATTCTGGAACGTCAAATAAGGCTCGCTTTCCACGCTGCATTGGAGCGTTTATACCCATTACAATTTCATCCTTCCTATAAAATATCTCGTCCTTCTTAAGAGGCCACTTACATTGTTTTCCAGCGCGTTCCATCACATTTATGGTTGCTCCTACCCTCGAGACATTAGTAATTTGACAAGGAAAATAGTTTTGCTCAAATTGTACAACTACGTACCTTCCCGTTGATTTCTCCACTTTTTGGGATGGGGCATTATTTTCTTCAGTGGGCTGTTCATCCCCATCATCGAAAAAATGGTCATCACTTGTACTGTCATCACTCTCCATGTATTTAACTTCATCCTCATTTTCACTAGAACTATCTGATGATGATCTGTCAGCTCCAATATATCGTAGACGTTTTCTCTGACGGATGTCAGAGGTTCCAGACTCAGGATCAACAGTTTTTGTCATATTTTCAACAGTAAGTGTGTCATTGTTAAAGTCACTACCGCATATGCTTTTTCCTGGTGGCACGTTCAGACGTTTCCTTCTTTTTACCTGTCTCTTTTTCGTTGTTTCTGTCCTTACGTTGGTAATGTGTTGAATAAAACTGTTACCAACATGCTCAGTTATTTCGGTATCTGCTGTTACGACACGATCGCATAAACGGTCTAATACTTGTCGGTCCAAAGGACAAATTCCTGTTTTTCTGAAACCGGATTTTAAATTATCAGGCGCTTTCTCTGACAACTGATTCATTAGACTTTTCAAAAGCCTCAGAAGTTCATCCTTTGGTATAGAAGAAACTCTGCTGCCATAACTACTTGCCTTCCACTCGCTCAAAATCTTACGCCATTTTTCCTTCATTAGTCGGAAAAAAGCCACGTCAAGTGGTTGGAGTAGATGAGTGGTATTAGGAAGTAATGCTATAAAACGAATGTAATTAGCTTCACATTCTTGAATGATGATTTCAAGTGTGAACTAAGATTGTCTCCTATGATTGCCTTTCGTCCTTCTTGACGTTTTGATATTGGAAGTATAAGATGCAAAAACCATTCCTCAAAAAATTGATAGTCAAACCATCCTGAAGCCGTCCTATTATATCGCGCGTTTGGCGGTCCATTTTCGGTCCAGGTGTTCCATAATTTTTGAGATTTTATAATTGACGTAAAGTGGTGCTATTTGACCCTCGGCGTTTCCGCATACCATTAATAATGAGGTACAGGCTTTAGACGAATTCCTGATACGTTCAGGATATTTCGTTCCTCTCTTGGTTACTATTTTTGTCTGTCCTGGGTCATCAACTAGGTTAGTCTCATCATAACTCCATATATAGCTCAACCTCCAAATTATCGAAGAAGTTATTTATGATTTCTTCATCAGTAGCAGCCCTAGCATGTGAAATGTTCTGCGCAATCCTCCGAGAAAGTTGTGGATGTCGTTTTAGAAAGGATTTGACCTAATCACATCCTGGCATATTGTTTTTAAAAGGTTTAATATTTTTGCCCTGCTGGTACAAAGAGGACTTTACTACACATCGAAGGTCAAATGTGCTTACTGGAAAACCAAAAGCTAACACAGTAATTACATGGGCTGCAAATATATTTTCTTCCTCCTCAGCAAACACTTTTTGTTGTCCAGGTTTGTTCTTATGTCTCTCTTTTATTTTCAGCCATAAAACATTTCAATGGATATTATATTTTTCTGCAGCACCGCGTAGTGAAATCCGTTTACTCCTTATCTCGTGAAGGCTTCTGCTAATTTTTCTTGTGTATAATTTTTGTAATTGCGACTACCAATTTTTCTTCTATACACTCGTGGCATTGTATCTGAAAAATTACACATTTTGCGTTTCAGTAATACCTTCATAAACATTCAAGGGGTTACTTTGTGACAATTTTTTGTCACATAGTAGCCCCGCTAATTGTGACCAATTTTTCAAAAATGTGGTAAACAAAGTGAAAAATAACTTCGAAAAGAAATAATTCTAACACTGAGGCGTGGAAACGTTCGTATTTTAATATAAAGCTACCTTGGTGGAAAAATATTTTAATATATTTTCTGACCAACACAAAGTTTGCACACAAAACGAAATCCACCTGATTTTTTATTTAATCATAGATGTCACTGTCACAAAGTAGGCACTAGGCAGTAGTGAGTAGTGTTACAAAGTAGCCGCTCTTTACGGTACAGTTTATTTAGACAATAAAATTATGTGTGTCTCTGTCTAACATATCTGAAACTTCATTAAAAGTATTCACAAATCGCTGTCGTTGGTCTTTACTAGAGACTAAAATGATGACTTAATCGTCACCTTTCGTGATTTCGACTTTAGGTAAACATTGTTTTTAGTGATGACCTTGGTTCTGTTCAGGAATGCATCACGGGCGGATGCGTGTCACTCCTGTCAGAAGGCGTCTCGGAGTAAGACGAAGACGTAATGCAAAGTTTTTTTACACTTTACAAAAAAAATTGGCCATTCTTGGATTACCATTGTAAAGCATTGATTTCTGCAAGCATTACAGTTTTCTTCCGAAATTGTTCCATCTATATGTCAGTAGACAAACTAGTGCGGATGTAGTCTTATCTACTACACAAATTTTGACGGATATATGCCGCTATCTATGCGCCAGTAGATGAACTATTACAGACGCCATCTATACATTAGTAATCATGCTGGTACTCTTGAAGAATCGATTTTTCCAGCTAATGTAGTTTTCTTCCAGAATTTTTACAGTTTTTTTTCCTGCGTATTTACTTCTACGACCTGTCATTACGTCATAACGTCAAAAAAGATCAGGGGAACAGCGAGAAGGTTATGTATGTTATTGTGTTTATAAAAAAACGAAAAAGTGAGTAATAAATTCATAATTTTGGATCCTGTCATCGCTACCCGATGGATAATGAATATCGTTCGATGATCGACTTTATGTTTTAGCGACGCCTCCCAACAAGAATGAACGAAATCAACATTACTAGCTTGACGTTGAAGTATTGATTTCAGAGAGTGGAAAATACGTGCGTGATTTTAAATTTAGGAATTTTTCTGATCATAGGAGAAACAAGATGACCGTACAGCAATACTGTCTGAGATGGAATAACCACCAGCCCAATTTTATATCAGTGTTTTCTAGTCTCCTCAACAGCCAATCATTGGTTGATGTTACATTAGCTGCAGAAGGAACTCACCTACAGGCGCACAAAGTGGTTTTGTCTGCCTGCAGTTCGTATTTTCAGGTGAATATTCAATGTCAATGCTTGACACACAATTCTGTTGTCTCTAATTGTCATAGAAACTAGCCTTGTATTTCTATATTATAAACCAACAAAGTTGGGTGACTCAAAACTTCACAGATACTGAGTAAACCTAAGTTAATATTACTAATAAATGTTGTTTAGTATGCCCTCTAACTTGAGAAATATTCAACATTTTTTGCTTACAGAGGTTTGAAAAACATAAAGAATATTATAAGGTTAACTCAGTAATTCATTATTGAAATAAATGAAATCTTTGGATAGACAGATACCCAAAGAAAGTCAAGACTTTAACACGAAATTGTTCCAAGAAACGTATTTGATTGCACCATGCACCCTAAACTGAATAGAATCTTCAGAATTTTCAATAAACAAAGTGTAATTTTTTGAAAAAACTACAATCTCTACAGAATATACCCCAAAAACAAAAAAAAAACTTCTTTCCAACCAGGAATTTAATTGAATGCACCCTAAAATTCACAGAATCTTCAGAAACATACATTTACAATGCCTGGGTCATTTTAAAGAAGTTCTCCCTCACAAAAAAAATTGTCTATGTCATAAAACCTTCAAAACCAAAATATGGAATTCTACAATAATCCTTCAAAACATGGTGACCATACTCCCAAATGGCCAAGAGCCACGAGAAAAAAAAACTAATAATATGGCTAACCATGGGCAGCTGTTTCATGCTTTTTGGTAACTAATCATGGTCTAGACTTGGTCTCAGGTAGGACAATGAATAAAAGCTGAACATCTATCCAGGATATAAAGTCTATTGCAGTAGCCAATTCTGGTAATCGTGGCACTTTGTGCTGTCTTATTTTAAGCATCATAAATGTGCATCGATATTGTTTTTTCTAAATCTGATCTCTCCACAAAAGTTTTGGGTATTTCCTAGACTAGAATGCGTTAAAAATGTTGATTCCCTCTAAAAAAATTTGGCCTTACCCAAACATCAGTAGAGACTTGCAAAAAAAAGTTGTTGACTGCATTCTCAAATGAATAGAATCTTCAAAAACTGTAGATCAAAATATATCATTATACAAAAATTGAGGGTGATTTTCAAAAGATAATATGTAGACGTTTTTGAGAAGTTATATATTCTCTTGATATAAATTATATTAAAATCTTTTGCAGTCTCTCTTTACTGTAAACCCCTGCAAACACCCAATAGTCATCTTAAAAGATGTGAAGTTTGCTGATCTGAAAGTTATGGTAGACTTCATGTACCATGGAGAGGTCAATGTCTCTCAAGAACAACTACCATGTATTTTAAAAACTGCAGAAATGCTTAAAATAAAAGGTAATTTTTAGTATACAGTTAGTTATAAAGATTTTTCTCTAAAAAAATACAGTTTCATCTTATGAAATGCATCTTATCGAAGTCATTAGGGGAACTGTTGTTCTTTTGTAGGTCTTACAGAGATTCCTGTGGATCAATCAACAGCTACAAGATGTCAGAACAAACTTCCTGAAAAGCCAGAAATACCTTCACAAGATGAAGGTATTTGGAGCTTAGAAGAAAATAACAGGCCTCCAAGCCCTTCTTCACCAAACAGCAAAAGGTATAAAAAATCATCTGTTTGAATAAAAAAAACTCACATATCTTTCTACTTCCCACGCTTTCTGGCGAGAAAGTATTGTAATCACTTCTAAACTTCGCAATGAGAAATGTTTTTTGTATGTTATATGACATGTACAACACAAAAAACCATGTCACTCATTTTCGTCTGTCTGTCTGGCTGTTGGTCGGACCGAAAATACTTGGCCCATTTATGGCTTAAACGTTTCCAACCCAGGTAGTTCGACGCACCTATTAGACGTATTTCATAAATCAAAGATTTCCTTGTACATTCTCCAATTTGACAATTAAAAACATATACCTCCGATTTACGCGTGCTGGACAACTCAACGAGTGCGCGCCTCTCTGCTTTGAATGGCTAGGGAACACTAAGTCAGCATGCATGTTTTTGTGTATAATATAACCCTGTGCTGGATTGCAGCATTCCTGGATGGTCAGTACTGTTGGTTGGGTGGTAAACCCTATTTCACTAGTATCAATCACGTTTTGATGTCTACTGAGATGAATGATCAGCAAGTGGCATCTTCGTATCAGTCGGTAACGTTGGCAATAATGAATCAGGTGTAAATCTAGTAAACCTTTCTTATAGCACTTTTTTATATGCAAATCAACTTTTTTAAATAACAAAGTTGTTAGCAGGTAAAAAATGAATGTGTAGCGTACAAAACACCAAAACAAACTACGGCCCTGTCGATATGGGGAATCTGGAAATATTAGTAGATAATCAGCTGTTACTCTACGATAATGGATACTCGTGAGAAAAACAATAAGCTAGATCGCATTAGTTGGACTATGGACTGATTGTATGACCCATTTAATTCCTTTATTATACACGCCCGTCGCCAATGTTTTTCTAAGAGGGTCAAACTTGTCCTTTACGTAGGAAGTTTTCGATCAAGCTACGTGACGCAATTTTTTAAATATGTAATCAAACATCATCTGCTATTAAAAATCCCGTTATTTCAGAAAACGTTTGAAAAAGAACGTAATATGCTCCCCAAGCGGTGGCACCTCCAGCACAGATCCAACAACAGACCCATCACCAGGCGGCTCAAGCGACATCATCCTTAGTACCATGGACAACGTATTCGGCACTGTTACCAAAGTGGAACCTGACCAAAGGTACTCAACAGACAGCACAAATACTTCCACTACTTCACAACAACAGTCGCAAAAATGCAACGGAGTACCTATTCATACCATACAAGCGACGGCAGGTCCGTCCACGCATGACATGCAGGAACACCAGGTCGAACAAACCCACCATATATCACTGGTAAGTTAATAATAATAATAATAATAATAATCCGGCTTTATTTATACAAAGTATAAAAAGGCGAAGTGTCGCTAAAAAGCGTTTTTCACCTTAACCCAAGTTAACCCTTAGTTCAAATTAATAATTCCTCGGCTCATATGCATTTTTCTGTTCACCTGGTCCTTTCACTTTTCTTTCTTCCACTTTTTATAACTTCCCCTGTTTATCACTAGCCTAAACCCATAGCTCTGCTCGCGTGAAGTACTCTAGTATATAGGTCATTTATTTTGCATTAGTGTGAAGGAGCTTGGATTTGGACAAACAGATGCTATAATCAAAGTAATGCAATAGTTACTAGTTAATAGTCACTAAATTAATTTCAAATGTGTAATTGAAATAAGTAGTATGTGAAGTATCTCACAGCCTGTGTGGCATATCTTAACATAAAGGGTGATCCATCTGTTGGTTAATTTTTAAATCGATGGTTAAAATGAAAACGTTACACCACAACGGCTAACTATGCGTTTTTAGAACTGTTCTGGAAGAAGAGCGATTGTTTCGCGGCGCGTGTGGCAGGGCTCGCCGCCGTCTTGCTGAAACCGCACGCCATTCATGTCTTTTATTGGTTTCCGGAAAGAAATAGTCAGTCAGAATGCTTCGATAGCTCACACCAATGATCGTGACGGCGCGTCCTCCGTCATCTTCGAAAAAAAGGGGCCAAAAATGCCACCAGACCACAAACCACACCAAACAGTCACGCGTTGCGGATGCATTGGCTTCTAGGTAATTTCATTTGGCTATTCTGAGCACCAAACGTGGCAATTTTGCTTGTTGACGTAGCCACCAAGATGAAAATGGACCTCATCAGAAATAATGATTTATTGGTAAAAAGGGGTCCTCGTGCAAGAGTCCAATTTTGAGCGCTTCCCAACGTTGTTCAAGCATATATCGATCCATATTCATTCACCACAGACTCATTACTAAATTGTCAAGACAGAACTGTTGCCAGCCGTAAGATAAGCCCTAGTTCAAAAATTAACCAACAGATGGATCATCCTTTATGCTTAGAGTAATGTAACAACTGCATGTATAGTTGTCCATTAATTTATCAATCATTTTAAGGAATTTGGGTAAACAATGTTAATTGTTGTATTATTTGTAGCGTAAATGTATAGATTCTCTCATGGTCTGCAGGGGTATTATGTAACTTTGAAAAGTGACACTTGGTAAGAATTTTTTGATCCTACAAAAGAATTTTGAAACATTAAGTTAGACATAATGTCATATGTTTCCTACTGAATATCAACATCAAACTAGCTGTCATTCACTCCATGTCCTCTTGTAGAGTAGCATAATGTGTATGCACTAGATGTGCAATAGCGGCTACCTCATTTGACCTAGTGAACAATTTGACATTAAGTAAGATTTTTACATAATACCCCTTTTGCACTTTATAACTTCTATATGAAAGATTAGATTTGCGTTTTCCGAGCATTGTAAAACTACCAGATAATAATAAATCACAAAAATTATAACAAATCTAAGCAGACAGCTATTACTAATTTAACTAAAATTACAATAGCATGCAAAGCAAACAAGTAACTTAACAATTTATTTATAGTGTACCTAAAGTCATAAACTAAATAGCAACACGATAAATCAAAGCTAATTTCGTATCTACTGATTGAGACTTTCAATGACAATGGAGCAAACTAACGACCAACTTAGACCTGCATTTTGAACCTATACACACACGGAAAAGAACCTAACTGTAATATAATTACAATAGAACACATCTATCCTGAACCAATAACTATGTATTTACAGTGTTATACTTGAAGTACCTTACAGCCTTGTGGCATATCTTAATATGTATGTTTAGAGTAATGTAACTATTGTATCTATAATTGTCCATTATTTTACCATTCATTTTAAGGCATTTTGGCAACGGTAATTCTTTTCATTATTTGTAGCGTAAATGTGTAGATTTTTCAGAAGCTGCTCTATGGTCTGCAAGGGTATTATGTAACTTTGAAAAGAGACATTTGGTGAGAAATGTTGGACACTATTAGAATTTTGTGGCATTAAGTTAGATTTCTGTCATAATGTCAAATTTTTCCTACTGAACTTGAAACTAGATGTATACATACTAACTAGTATGAGTAGTATACACTAAGTAAAATATTTACATAATACCTCTGTCGCACTTTATTACTCCTATACGAAAGATTAGATTTGCGTTTTCCGGGCATTTCAAAGACTACCAAGTAGTAATAAATCGTACAAATAATAACAAATCTTAGGAGACTAATGACTAATCTTACTAAAAATAAATTACAATAGCATACAAAGCACTCAACTATCGTAATAATTTATTTACAGAGTGGACAGAAAATAAACCAAATAACAATCCGATGAATCAAAGCCAATTTTGTATCTATCAATCCAGTATTTTAATGACAACAGAGCTAACTAACAACAAACTAAGACCTACATTTTAAATCTATACACCTTTCATGTAATATAATTACAATAGAATACAGCTATCCTAAACCAATACCTATTTATTTACAGTATTATGCTTCAAGCAAAATAAAACAACAAGCAAATCTAAGTCAAGATGATCACGCTGAGAAAACGAATATCGAAATGCATGATAGAAATGCCCTATTTATATACCGTTTACATAAATGAATTTAGAAATCTATTTGAAAAGAGCTACAGTGTTTGATTTTGCTAGTGTCTCATAGATGGCGCTGGAAACAAACCGTAGGTCTTTAGCTCGTTTTTCCAAATGAAAGGGTCCTTGCAGAATCAGCTCAAACTTAACCTTACCAGATTAGTACATATTGAAATTGTGAATAGATACACAGCTATTAAAGAGGTGCATTAATGGAGAAGTTTCGTGATGAAAAAATATCAAAATATAGATGAAATATAATCAACCAGTGAAAAAATTATTGAAGTCGGTCAGTGCATGACAGAGAAATTGAGACTTAAATTTGACGCATTCTAGCGCGTAATCATTGCTGCCGTCAGTTCGCGTCTGACGTCTGTTCGTGTAGTAACTAATTTATAGAAAATTCATAAGACACACCTGTGCGCTCAGCCAAGTGGTTTCTAATTGATGACTATTGAGTACTGCGTAAGTTCGTACCATTAGGGAAGCCGGATTTGTAAAAGGGTTAAGTGACAATTTTCCCAAAATTGACATTTATGAGTGATGGAATTTATTTCTTCAAAACCATCATATACAAGCGCGGAAATAAAAGGTGTGAAACTTTGGAAGTAAGGATTTATGCATACTGCTACACTATGACAACTAGCTGTAAAATGTACGATACCGTATTAAGGTTTTAAACAAATTAGTGTGTATGAGTACAGATTTGCGAATGCGACACATGATATTTTCCAGGCAGATAGGGACGAAAGTGGAAGTTCTTCAAATTTAGATGTAGTAGATGATCCTAACTTCTTCGATAGACCCATTAATGAATGTAAACGAAGAAAACTTAATAAGACCCAAGTAATGGCTTACTTTACAGATACAAGCATATTTCTATGCTGCAAGGTTCACTTTTTTGTGTCATGATCACTTGCTACAGATACAGTATAATCTTCAAGCAGTGGATCTTCTAGCGCTTTCGATTCTTCATAAGTCACATTGGATGAATTCGAATGGTTGCCAACTTGAGGTGGAGGGAAATCGTTCTTTAACAAGTCGCCTAGTTTATATTTTATCAGATTTTCAGTATCATTCTCAATCTGTAATAACAAAAAGGCATAAGTTGTTACTTTTCTAAAATGTCATTAAAATATATATGTATAATAACATTGCACATGATGCAGTACAGAGTCAACCTACTTGACGACTTTTTAGGGATGTAAGTGACTCCTTAGTAGCTCACAGCTATTCTCGCTGAGTTGAAATAAGTGATCTTTAATATTAGTTGATAAATATTTCCCTGTCAAATGCCGCGTGTAAAGTGAAATGAGCTTGGAAATCATATATTAACTAATAATCATAAATAAATAGTAAAGTGATATACTCATATCAAAGTGGTCGTCACAGACATAATATGTTGTACTTTTTGGTCCATTCAAATCACGTTTCATAAGTTTGCACCATGTCTTCCTGATATTTTCATGTGAGGGTTCGTGGAAAAAATGTTTATTAGGGGTTGTAATTGTTGTGCTCGTACATTTTGGGACGATACAGTATTTATAACAACCTTTTTTTTGTTATTTCGCTCATAACCGATCGGATATGAAGTCAACTAATTAAACAAATAGGCGCGGAAGACGTTTAATCTACCACATGTTCCCGCTGTATCTGTACCTATGTGTATGTGTGACCACGGCCGTCGCGACTGGATAGTGAAGTGTGTCGTCACGCGTCGCGTTCAGACGGAATAAAAATATTCTCGCGGGGCGCAACTTTGATAGGCTGTAGCTTTTTTGTTGTTAGAGATAAATTAATAATTTTATCACCATCATAATCATAAAAAAATGGTAAACTTGTCCATTATTGTAGGGCCTGCCTCCCTTACCAGAGGGTAAGAATGGCTATGTGCTCTTGTACATACCTTGGTTGCAAGTTTTGGAAACAGGCAGCATATGTCACTGTTCAATTCAAATTTATAATGCCTGCGCGTTTTTCTATTTATCTGACTATTTCTTATGTTTTGCTTCCATTATTTCCTCTTCTTTTTATTTCTTCTGACAATGTCTGGATCATGCTTCGTCAAACTGGCCCTTGATGATGTTGATAGTGTTATCTATGTCAAAACAGTATACCATCATTTTTTACAGCAAGTTACATCACATGACCTCAACACTTCACATAGTGTCGAATGTCCTACCATGGAGATACCAAGAACTACGATAGCTCAACAAACGCCTACAGGTAAGATTTTTCATTTCATATTTTTTTTTGCGTTCATAGAATCCAAATATGTTGAAATACAGTTGCACTATTGTATAAAAACAAATAATACCAACCTCCCAGTCATGGGAGGAATAGGGAGATTACTTTTATGACATTTAAGCTTTATAATATCAATCCATGTCATGATGTAGACAATATCACATCATTAAAATAAGAAATACAGACTGTTTACATGTGGCTAATTCATAGAAAACTGAAATAATGTTTACTTACGTCATTTTTCGTAGGCATCACGTTTTTTATCATTCTGAACAAAAAGTTCTTTGGTAACTGGGAACTTTCTGTAATGGATACTGGATATTAGAAATACATTTGAAGAGCTTGCATGGGGCAATAATGTACCCAACCTACAGTTGAATAAAAACACATTTTTATATTAAATCACCCGTGGCGTAGGTTTCTATGTCCGAAGTTGATTTTTTCGACAATTCGCTAGATGTAGGTACAATTTCTAAATGGCGTTTTTGAATAAGCACGATTAGCGCCAAAAGCAATTTGATCGATGGTGAAAACATGATGTTTCAATGATATGGAGAACAAGATGGTTCTGGATTTAGTTCAGATGACAGTGTGAAGGACAGACACTATCCTCCGACTGATAGCAGTTCTTATAGTGACTCTAAGCGTATAGCGCAGGCGAACACATAAATTTGTGGCTTATGACTTTATTGCCGCTATAGATGCTTATGCCATAGAATACAGAGTTAACAGCAGTCGAGCCACGCCGTCGAAAAAACGCAGTGGGAGACAATACCTGGGTGGTTGATATCCTACCTGTCATTTGGCTGCGATCATACATTCTTTACCCTTTACCTGCGAATATTCTGATTAGATGTTTTGCATAATCCTAATAAAAAAGAAACAATGATTGACGCAATTTAGGACTGGCAACAAGCAGATTAAAAGGGGCCCTTTTTCAATAAGATTATGCCAAAAGACGGAATCAAAATATTTTACTGAGCGGATGCGAAGATATTTCCTGGACTATAAATCATGACATAAATAAATAAAAAAAGGTACCCTAAACGCTAGAAAGTCATTCGATGGTAGAGTTGTTGATTCTCGATACTATCGAGTATTCGTTACTAATCGTTACTCTTCTACAAATTCAATTCGTTACTTTGATTACTATGAGTAGTATGAGTATAACGAGTCGAATTTCAGCAACTTAGTGGAATATTATGCTTTAGTTTGGTAAGTTTTGAGAAAATAAACAACCTCAAAATTTCCCATTTTTTTTAAATTATTTAAATCTGCCGTGCTTAATGCAAACATCGCATCTTCAAATTTTATACAAAACGAGAAGGGTTATTATATATCTAACTCATATGTGAATATAAACTGAACATACTTCATATTTGCTAGAGATGCTTCAAATGCATGTCGTGCAGTTGGAACGTTCATCTGCATATGGGCTTGGACGAAATTCGGATTAGCAATTAACTTTTCGAAGCTATGGACATTTCAATTAAGGATATACCAGTATAAAAAATTCTACAGGGTCCGTCAGAAAGAACGCATGTTTTTTAAATGAGCAGTACAGTCAAAATAAGTATGGGAAAAATATTTTATCATATCAAAATACTCAGAAATACATGCCATTTTTTTGAGTAAAACAAAATTTACGTTCTGAAAACTATGTCGGCCATATGGCGTCCTAGAGCCGAAATGCAGGAATCAAGCCTCTCCCGAAATGAGCCCATTGCGTCGGCCAGCATTCGTGCAGGAATTTGGGTTAGTTCTGGGGTATGCAGGGGGTGCTCATGCAACTGTTGCGGGTTCACTGGAGACCAATATCGACAATTTTGTTTATTGACGCATCCATGTAAATGAAAATGTGCTTCATCACTCATAAACAACGTCATGTCATTGTTATCCAACTGTTCAATCATGAGCTATGCAAAATTAACACGTTGTGCATAATCCCCTGGCAACAGTTGTTGACAAACTTTGATTTTGTAAGGATGGAACACTAAATCGTTCTTTAAGATGCGACGTACAGAGGACGCGTGGATTCCTAGGGAACTCGCACGCAAACGGACGGAACGATTCGGGCTTTGCAGCGTGTCAACTCTCACTCTGTCAGCGTTTTCGGGGATTCTAACAGTACGGTTTCGCCCTGGCGGTTTTTTCTTCATCACATTACCTGTTGTATGCTTCCACCCATCTCAAAATGGTGTTACGGTCTGGTACTGTCCCACGACGTGGAACACGAAAGTGAACGCGAAACTCACTTTGCGTTCGAACGACAGACTCGCCATTTTGAAAGTACCGGTGGACAGTGAACACACGATGCTCAACGTTCCAAACCATCTTGCCAACTGAAACAGCACTTCTCCCACTATCCAACTCGCCCTTCCCCACCGACAGGGGACCAGCCCACTCGATGTAGTATACCCATTCGAAAAACATGCGTTCTTTCTGACGGACCCTGTATGTGGAGCTTAGTCTAGACATACCACCCCAATGTGGGATGTCTGGCAACCCTGATTCATGAGCAGCAGTGTTACAGTGATACCTAAGATGGCAGAAACCAGCAGTGCCACTCAACTGTGGATTATATTTGCATACGGGTACGGAACGAATCGAATCATTTGGTGTTCGATTTGTTACTTATTAGTTCGTGTTTCTATGAGTAATGAGTACTAGAGCAACGAATAGCTACGTATTCAACAGCTCTAGTCGATGGCCGGCATCCTATACCATTGAAAGCAAGTGGGTCGCGTGCCTGTTGTATGTATGGTACAGGGCGATTTATGATGATGAGTTGGTGTAGCGTGCCTGGATGTAAAACAAAGGAGGGAAATGGAGTGCCGATGTTTCGTTGCTCTACTAATGATGCTAGACAAGTCTTGTTATTCCATGATATCTGGAATCCGTTTTTCCATAGAGGAGCTTAGGTCGAGGTATAATTGACGAACGATATCCACCGAACATTTACCTATGATTCATGAGTGTACAGTGTCAAAAACGACATATGACAAGATTGATGTTCAGTTTTACTACTAATAGCAGGCATTTTCAAAATTATTTGAATTCTACCAGTGGTGGAATACGTTAATCAATGATTATACATGAACCTGCTGTTTGGAGTATGGAGATTCCATATGATTTCTTAAAAATGATGAGTAGTAGAAAAAATCTTGATGTTGGCTCCTTTAATCCTCAACAGTAATTGAAGTTTTAATAAAATCCTAATACAAGACCACTATTATGTCAAGCACAAAGAATAATTTGTAATATGTTTTTGAAATCTATACAGTTTCATACAGCAAGAGTCTTGAAAACCATTAAAAAATAAGGTTTGTTTCTTTTACTTACTTCAGAACCCTTTACTTCAAACCCATTTTCATATTTGTGACCATACAGTATATCCTAAGTTTTGACAAAATCGGCACAGCGGTTTATTGAGATTACGCTATGACAAACAAGACAGAATGTCAGGTGGAGAATCGTCAATCAGTGGCATGGAGGCTAAAAAGTATTTCAAGTCGCAATATTTCTAAGCAAATGATATTTATCATCTATTGTCTACGCCATAAACATAATGACATGAAACATCCTGAATAAACACACTACATGGTGTTTCAAATTCGATATTCACCATTGGGATCTTCGAAACTGCACAAGATACGAAGCCGCTTAAATGGAATCAAAGCTGAGCATTTAGGTAATCAACAAAATGAAGCTTAGAAAGTTTCGTAATGCAAAGTATTTCCCCATTTTCCCAAAATAGTTTCAATTGTTTCCTGACTTTATTTGTAGTGGGATTTCAAAATAACTTGCACATTAACATTGCCACATTTGTTCCTCTACATGGATGCATTTGGCAATGTAATACCGTACACAGTAATGGAATATAGATAGACAAATAAAATTTTACTTTGGAATACTGTGAAACATTACTTTTAGAAGGCCTAAATTATTCATGTAATTACCCTTGATTACAACCGACTAATCTCTAACCATGTTTTCTGCGACCATTCTAGTTATTATAAGAGAGAGGCCTTAGGGATACGAGGTAGCATTTATCATGAAAATATAAATTCTGTCAATTTTGAGCCGTTTTTAATAACCAGATAAAATAAACAAACAATGAACCATGAGAATGACAAGTGACAGAACTCTTATTCCTACGGTTTTGAACTCGGGAAGAAAAGCACAATTTTGACGTTCCAGAAGGATTACTTTGTTCTATTTCCGAACGCATTTAACATGTACGTCAAACCATTACGAAAGCTAAAATTGTTACAGAGTAGTACAAAGTACACTCTGTAACAATTTACGAACGCAGCCCAGCATGGCATAATTAGAATTTCAATATGATGTTTCGTCTCTTGTCTTTCAGCATCAACTTTATTTTTTCTTAAGGACGCCATATTGGATTTTTGCATAGATGAATAGAGTTTTTAATTGTGATTCCAAAAATGTACAATACGTCTACATTGGCATTGTCAAATTTTGTTAATTCAAAGAAGCAGATTTTACTAGGTACGCCTTAAAATTATCAGATTGTCATTTGTTTCGCATACCAGTTATCTCAAAATCACTTTTATTTTTTCCTGACTTTATTTGAGACGAGATTTTAAAATAAATTGCATGTTGTCATTGTTATTCTCCTCTACAAGATGGAGTAGTCAAATGTTCAATACGACGTTTTTTTTCGACTTCCATCACCAACTTTGTTTTTTCATATAGACGCTATATTGAATTTTGTACACTTAAATGGCCCTTTCTGTCATAAATTCAGTGTTATATTTTCTTAGTTGGCCATGAATTTGTTGTAGGATGAAAATTATAAGGAAATAAAAAGGTATGGTAAAACCTGAACACAACATGAAAATTTTATTGATGGTGATAACATCAGTAATCATAAATAAGCAGGCGTAAATCATAGCGGATTTTCAAAATGTCCGTTATTGTTTAGACAAAGCCTGACTCTTCTCTGTACATTGTTCACTGCTCGATTTACTTCTCTTCTCCTCAGTCTTCCAAACTCGGTTGCTATGTTCAGTTTTAGGTCTGGTCAATGTCAATGTATGACATAAGATACATTTATGAAATCAGAATTATATTCATCTGCGCAAAAATCCAATATGGTATCCATAAGAAAAAATAAAGTTGATGCTGGAGGACAAATGACGCAACGTCATATTGAAATTCTATTTTGCCATCTTGTAAAGGAGAAAAAGTGGCAATGGTAGTGAGCAATTTATTTTGATATCCCACTACAATTAAAGTCAGGAGAAATTGAAACGATTTTTGAAAAATGCAGTTTTTTCCGTTTCTCTCCGGAAGTACTTTGAATTTCGAAACTTTCTAAGCGGAATTTTGTTGATTACCTTAGTACGCAACTGTGCCCCCAATTAAGCGACTTCGTATCTCTCACAGTTCCGAGATCCCAATGGTGAGCGTCGAATTTGAAACACCCTGTATATGTGCGCCTAAGCCTAACCCTGTGTAAAGCAATAAAAAGGTGCGGGACCTCTTTAATTGAGGCACCTAAACAACAAATGGATCTGAATTCTAGGAAAAAATGTCGGCATCTTTAGAAGTTTGAAGATCAAAGGTTAATTCGCGAGTGGCTCTTCTACTGGTAACTTTGTATTCTTTGCTTATGCTTTTGCTACATAGCGAAACCATTTTTGTATTAGTTTCACCATAGAACCAGATAATGATTTCAAATACTCTATTAATAAGAATATATCATCATCCTTATTGAGAACGATTATCGTAGAAAGCAGATAACTTGAATACAGGTCAATAATATATAATGTTATGATGCGTGGTGTATGCCCATTTTGACCAAATAAATGTATTTGTGTGGCTTGTGACTTTCTTCAGTCTTATGAAACATTCATATTTTTTTCCTAAATAGAGAATGCATGCGACACAGTACTGATGGAAAAACAGAACTTTTACGCATTTTGCTCCATATCTGCCACGATACAGAACTTTACCGTAGATAAGGAATCCGTCAACAAATATAATAAAGTGTGCTGATTCAAGTCTAACAACGAACACCCCAATTATACACTGAAAACCAAATACCGTAATGTGTACGAGAGAGAAGCGCGCAATACGTGTGTTAGAAAAAATCAAACTATTTTTAAATAACCCTTGGAGTCCAACGGTAATTTTTCGATTCTGTTATTACCAAATCTCTGTTTCCCGATATGTAAAATTTCAACCGAAATTAAGCATGAAACATGATTTCAGGATTTACGTAAAATTTATAGCCTTAGATTTCTGTCAAGCACTTCATTTGTTTATAAAATTCATGGGGAGTTTATAGTTGTTTGCTGTTATTATTACAGCCCACTTCACTGAACTCACGAATTTTATGGTGTTATTTATATTTAAGTTTAAAACATTATAATTATAAAGATTAAGTTCACCAATAACTGTATTTAAGTGTGTTAACAATGGATGGTGAATGAAACTGTACTTTTTAAAACTTATCACCGCTGTTCATTGTATCGCCTTACATCATCTACGCTATGTGTCATCGTCCCATTACATCGTTGGTATTTAAGATGTATGTATTTTACACAAATTGGTTACTAATCAGCGAGATTCTCAACAGAGTTTTCTAATACATTCTCATAGGCTGCCTGTAAAGGAATTTTAACTTTTTTGTATTCAATAAATATGATTAAAATTCACTTATCTTTATGAAAAAAAAATACGTTCTAGTAAGATTTGATGTTAAGGGAAATATGTAATTTTAAAACAAAGTAGTACTTTAACTTTTCGTGAAGTCGGTTGAGTGATTCGTTTGACGCTTTCTATATCATTTTAAGCGATTCAAAATTCCACAATTTTTATCTGTCAACGATTTTGCCCTTAATTAATAATTCTCTGTCGTCCCTGATATAGAAGTCGTTGAAAAAGTAATTTAAAGCCACGAGTATGTCACTTTAATTGAAAGAAACTGCTTTATCCAAACGCACCTCAGAATTGCTGAACTTAATCTTTCACTTCAGACAAGTTTCAAAATGGTAACGCAGTGCTCCTTAACCTTACAGGCATCCAATGGAACGTATTGGAGCACTCTGGCTACGCGAACTACTCACCCTCAACAACCACAATTGTCTCTAACACTTCTGGCACCCAGTTCACTACACATGACACTAACAACACCATGAAACAACCTCAAACTCCGGAAAATACCGGGATGCTTTCCCAGGAAGCCCAACCTCAAATGCAAGGAGAGCCTTACTACCATGTTCACAAGAGAAAAAGGAGTATCAACCCTCAAGGAGACCAGAATTTCATGAGGGCTTTGGAAGCTGTGAGATTCGGTGGAATAGGGTTTTGTAAAGCTGCGAGAATGTACGGGGTAAACAACCGTACCCTATGGTTGGAATATAAGAAGAGAGGATACCCGAACATTAGGTTGAGTATCAAGAATCGCCACAGACTGCAGATGCAAAAACAAGAAGCTGAGGCTGCAAATCAGGAACATATCGAGCAGACTATCAAAGTTGAGGAGCCCAAAGCGTTGACATGTACCATAAGTCACCCCGTAGCTTTAATAACAGGGAATGTTTTCGATGGGAAACATATGGAGTTGAAACATGTGCTTCCTAGAGATAAGTTTTTCGACGTGACGGAGAATCCTGGAGAGACTATTAATTTTTCTAGTTTGAATCTGGAGCAGATTTAAAAAGCTTTAACGTATAAGATGGTTTTTATATTTTTCTACTGAAAAGAATGAAATTGTTTTATAAAAAATGTGGAAAATATTGTGAATCTAGCAATGAATTCGTTGTTTGTGTACGTTAGTACAAGGTAAGAACCATGGTTTTAATAGAATCACTTTTTGCAAATGATTCTTTTCAAACTAGCATAAATTAAAACTTCGTGGAACTCTACTCAATTGCCTCTAATGTCTTCAGTACCCAGTTCACAATACATGACACTTAGAACACAATGACACAACCTCAAACCTCCGAAAATACGGAGATGCTTTCCAGGAAGGCCAACCCCAAGTCTAAGAGGAGCTTTACTACGACGTTCACTGTTTGGGTGAACATTAGACTGGATATCAAGAATCGCCACAGACTGCAGATGCAAAAACAAGAAGTTGAGGCTGCAAATCAGGAACATATCGAGCAGACTACCAAAGTTGAGGAGCTCAAAGCATTGACATGTACCATAAGTCACCCCGTACCTTTGATAACAGGGAATGTTTTCGATGGGAATCATATGGAGTTCAAACGTTTTTCGACGTAACAGAGAGAATCCTGGAAAATCTTATCAATTTTTCCAGTTTGAATCTAGAGCAGATTTAAAAAGCTTTAACGTATAAGATGGTTTTTATATTTCTCTACTGGAACAACGGAATTGTTTTATGGAAAAATTTGGAAAATATTGTGAATCTAGGAATGATTCGATTTCTTGTTTATTTACATTAGTTAGATTTTCTCTCTTTTAACAAATGATTCTATCGCCCTGTAGTCAGGTAAAAGACAATTTGTCAGATGTTTGCTCCGTAAAAACTTTTAGAATTTGCTGAGAGAAGAATATAAGATGGAATGCAAGTCCGAGGGGTCAACAGGTTACCCCCTCCATACCTGAGAGGTTGGAAAATACGAGCCCTAGTGAGACTTTGACAGCTGCAGGGATTGGAAGGGACGCACAAAATGAGAGGCTGCACCAAATAATCACTGACCAAGCAGCTCAAATCAAGAGATTGACGGACTGCGTGGACAATCTAAATGCCCAAGTGTTTTAGCCTTACTATTTCATTAAATCAATTCTTGTCCCATGATGACAGCTGTATTAAGATTCCCAAGAGAATACACAACAGCCCTACCTCACTTACAGACAGATGACGATGTGTAGGGTAGTGATTTTACCGCTATCCAGAGAAGTAAAAAATGAGAGATTCGTAAAATGAACGAATATCCTTCCCTTCCGACTAAGAACTGCCCAATCAATACCAATTCCATGGGCATAACACCGCCTGTGTCTGTTTCTTCTGCTGATTCTGCAAGCCAGCCAAAGCACTTTCAAATGCAAGCACCTTGCTTAAACGAAAGTAGCAACTCTGTTCCAGTCTCACATGCTACTTCGTTGGCTACCTCTTCGTCATCTAACGCTACCCTCGGCACACAGGCACAATCGGCCCATCAGGGGCGTGTTACACCTGTTGCGCTGGATGCGGCAAAGTGGCGCATTGTCAATTATTCTTTTATTAGTCTTGGTATTAAGATTTTCGTGCAGTAGCTGTTGATATGCATCGTACCTAAAAGCTAACACGATTATCGGAAGATAATTAGTTTTTTCAAAGTGGAAAATGTTCCTCACCATACATTTCCTCTGCCCTATGAGCGTAACAACCTCGCTGTTATCAGAGGAATCCCAGCGTCAACTGCTGAGCAAGAAATCGAAAAGTATCTCGAACAGAAGGGATATACACCCCTCCACGTAATTCGCTTGCAGCGCAACGGCGGCGTGCCCATGCCTTTGGTGGTGGTGATCCTGCCTCAAGCAGAGAAGTCACAGCAAGTGTTCAACGAACATGAAATGTTAGGGCTTTCAGAATTGAGGTTCAGAAGAACTCTCGACTCTTTGGGCAGTGACACCGCTGTTAGAAGTATGGACACGCGCAATCGTATTGCACTGTACCTACAAATTGTGTCTAATGTGCTCAACACCAAATGACACATCTGTGCCCTCAAGCAGGACAAAAGGCGCGCAAATGTGCGAACTGTGGAGGGGACCATCCGGCCAACAGTTCTTCCTGTAGATTCTCTCCTGGAAGAAATCTACAGGGCATCGCACAAAGGCGAGTAAAATCATACGCAGAGGCAGGAAAGGTTGACATTTTAGCTGCCCCTAGCTCACCTTCGACTGCTCAAAATGTGGACTTGGCAACAGCGCTCTGGTCCTTGCAGCAGATAATTAGTTCCCTGATAAGCGCTACACAGGCCTTGCAGGCGATCTTTCCGATAAATGACTAGGTACAATAGTTCATCAAAATTCTTTTCCGGAATTGTTTGGGTCTTAGGGATATTCCCAAAAAACGGGAATTTCATCAAGTACTTTTCGATGAGAGTATAGATGCGGCTCTATTACAGGAAACATTGCTTAATCCGGGATATCGTCTAGCTTTTCCGAATTATGATGTTATCCGAGCTGATAGATTAACTGGACGGGGTGGCGGCTTGGCAGACCTAGTGAAACGTGGTATTGCCTACCATAGAAGCACAGATGCCGACATGCAGAGCATTAAGGCGGCTTCCGTGGAGGTTAATGTGACGGGAGGTGTCCTGTTGAAGATCACATCGGTGTGGTGCCAGGCTGCAGGAGGCGGACCTGGAAGTCCTTATGGACTACTCTGGTCCGCTTATTGTAGCAAGGGACTTCAACTGCAAACACGGAGCATGGCCTTCTAGGTTGAATATCACCAATGGGATCCGACTGTACAACCATATGTGACAGAAAACGGCTACCTCATACGCAGTGCTGACGAGCTCACGCACCACCCATTTACTCACCTTCAGGCATCAGATGCCATTGACTTTGCAATATCTAGAAACTGTAGATCCAATATCACTTCTCGAATCATGTATTATATTTCTGGCAATAATCTTCCTGTCGCCCTGGAAGTGGATAATGAGCACACGTTGGAAGAGGGGATTCGTCCAAGGAAACGGTTTGATTGGGAACTATACAAGTTGCTTCTTAGAGAGTTCCCCAGTATCCCGATCATAGATGATCGAAACGGTATAGATGCAGCTCAAGCGGAGTGGACAAATTTCATTCAGCAAGCTCTGCAGCGTGCAGCTGTACTTCCTGTACAACAACACGGCAGACTTTTTCTCTCTGCAGACATTCGTAAAAAAATGTCTGACAAAAGGGCTGCAATTAAGCAAGCAAAAATGTCTTATCATCCTGATGACATTCGCAAAGCGACGAATCTTGTTCATGAAGTAAGAAATTCTCTGCATGAATTCCGCAATGAGCAATTGAACGACTTTCTGGCGGGGATGCTTGACTCAAGTACTCATCTCTTGAAAGTTGCGAAGTCGCTCAGAAACGGAAAGCGAGAACAGCTCGCACACAGCCACGGTCCTGGGGGTATAGTCTTCAAGACAGATGTCAAGATCGAGGTTTTAGCTGATGCTATTGAACAAGAGTTCTCTCCCATCAATTCAAAGGGGCTTTCCATTTTGGGTCCTAAAACTTTTGAAAACCTCCCTTGCAGGTAGATAATTTCGGATAAAAATTAATAATGGCTTGTCGATAGTACGGCCCATCAGAGCCGGCGTCCCTCAGGGTTCGGTTCTAGGGCCAATCCTTTACTCACTTTTCACGCATGATGTCCCTTGCCCTATGAAGACTATCTAAATATATGCTGATGACTGCACTAATGGCCCAGTCGCGTTCAGGGAAACTGGGCTATCTGTTGTACTAAAGCTCGCAGACCATGGGGAATTTATGCTAAGTGTCTCGGTGTCTCTCTTGATAGGGGGATGACCTGGCAGAAGCACACTGATGCGTTAACAACTAAATTCCAAATTACGTTTCGTCAACTCGACCCTACGCAATGTAGAATCTCAAAATTAAGTTTGGTCAACGAAGTTCGGCTATACAAGATGGTTATCAAACCAGCAATCACTTACGCATGTGAAGCATGGTGTTTTCTCGCCAAAACGCATATATGTGTAATCTGCAGGTTTTGCAGAGCAGAACCTTGCGAACCATCACTATCGCACCATGGTACGTCTCCAACGAGATCCCTCACAGAGACCTCGACATCCCTCACCTAAGGGACTACATCAAACAGCAGGCGCAGTTACGTTATAGTCAAGCGGAATCGCACAGCAACCCTCTGTTGCGTGAGTCAGTAAACTACACAGTCGAGCAAGTTCGCAAGCACACAAGCCCGCGGCTGGCACTGTGGACAAGATCAAATCGTACAATTCTAGGTCCAAAATTACGATTTTTGCAACACACTAATTCCTAAATTAGTTTTCGTATCAATTTAAAATAACCGAATACCAGTTAACAATAGCGAGGCGCCCCTTTAACTGGCGCACTTCACCTGCTTTGCTCTTAGCCCTTACTTCTTTCTTTCTTCTTCCTTTCTCTCAGACTTCGTATGGTATTTGGGCAACCAGACCAGACAGACCTACGATACTTTAACAAAGAGCGAGGGTCCCACGGACCGCTCTGACGGACAATGAGGAATAGAAGAAAAAATGATTCTTTTTCAAACTAAGGCATTTGGAAAAATTTAAACTTGGTGCTTTACCTAATATCTTCGGTACCCAAATCACCATGATCCTAGCAACACCATGAAATAACCTCATACCCCGATTATCCGGAGGTGCTTCTCCAAGAAGACCAAGCTCAAAACCAAGGGGAGCCTAACTACCACGTCCACAAGAGAAAAAGGAGTATCAACCCTCAATTAGACCAGAACTTCATGAGGGAAATATTTTTGATGGGAAACATATGGAGTTGAAACATATCGTATGCTTCCTAGACATAAGTTTTTCGACGTGACGGAGAATCCTGAAACTAATATTAATTTTTCTAGTTTGAATCTAGAGCGGACTTAAAAAGCTTTAACGTATAAGATGGTTTTTATATTTTTCTACTGGAAAAACGAAATTGCTTTATAAAAAAAAACTTTAAAATATTGTTGAATCTATGAATGAATCCCTTCTTTTAGTCTAATCATGTTAGTTAATTTCTCCGAAATAATCGTAAAGTCTGGTTTCATTGGTGCAAGTTGCTCAAGGGGCTATTTAAAACATGGACGCATAAAATGGGTACACCGATTTTTGTGGGAAAACTTTTTATTTGACAACAAAGAATGATGAAACGTGTTTTTTGGGATTCAGTCGAAAGTGTTGACAGGAACGAAAAAACTTTTCATTTAAGATTTTTAACAAAATGAGACCACACTTAAAAAGATCCGACTAATAGCAAAAACGTTATAGCCGAAAAACGAGACAAAATGCAGGTTTTGGCATTTGTTGATAATGCGACGATAATTTCAGGCAACTCCTTGAAATTCTTTAAATCTGTAGGTTTCATACTTAATAACAAAAACAAAATTGGAGTATATTGGTCAAGTAGTTTTTTTGGGAATTTCTAATTGTTTATCCCAAAACAATATACGTGTTTACCTTGCCAATATGAATCACAAGCCATTCCGAAAGATAAATATTATTTTTATGCGGAAAACAAAAGTTAGGTTTTCTCTTCTAAACAAATTCAAATATTTCGCATTTGTGAGTAATTGAACAAATGCGCTACGATATTCGAAAAACATACGTTACGATACACATTTTAAAACAAAGCGGATGTGTCTATCATCTTTTGTTGCGAATTACTCACAAATACGAAATGTTTGAATTTGTTTAGGAGAAAAAACGTAACCCATCCTTTTTTGCACAAAAATAACATTTATCTTCCGGAATGGTTTGCGATTCATATTGGAAAAGTAAACTAGTGTATTTTGCTATAAAATGCCCCTTGAACTAACCCTGTATATTGCTCAATAAACTAATAGTGATGGCCGGAAAACAGGTGTTTTGGGATAAACAATTAGAAATTCTCAAAAACTAATTGACCAATATCTACTCCAATTTTTTTGTGGTTATTTAGAAGCACCAATCCTATGAATTTGAAAAATTGCAAATATGTGCGAGAAACCATCGTCGCAAGTCCTAAAACCTACAGTTTGCCTGTGTTTTCGGTCATATCGTTTTTGCTATTAGTTGTGTGGTCTCATTTTGTAGGCCTCATAAATACCTAAAAATGAAGAGTTTCTTCGTTCCTACCAACACTTTCGATGAATCCCAAAAAACACGTTTTCTCATTCTTTGTTATCGAATAAAAAGTTTTCCCACAAAAATTGGTGTACCCACTTTATGCGTCCATGTTTTGAATACCCCCTTGAACAACTTGCAGCAATTCAAGCAGACTTTACAATTATTTCGCAAACCAGGGGTATTTTCGTCTAATATGATTAGATTATTTGTTTATTTACGTGCAATGTGTGAACGATGATTTTCACAATTACGTTCAACAAATGATTCTTTGGCAAACAAATTCATTTGTAAAAAATTAAAGCTTCGTGCTTCACTTACCTCTAATATCTTCGTCACACAAATGACTTTGAAATCATGAAACAACCTCAAATCCCAGAAACTACGGGGGTACTTCACCAAGAAGCCCAAACTAGAGTGCAAGAAGGAGCCTTACTACCATATTCTCAAGAGAAAAAAGAGCATCAACCCTCAATGAGACTAAAATTTCATGAAAAAATGTAGGGAATAACCCTTTGGTTGGAATATAAGAAGATGAGTACCAGAACATTAGGCTGAGCATCAAGAATAGACACAGACTGCAGCTGCAAAAACAAGAAGCTGGGGCTGCAAATCAAGAACATATCGAGCAGACTATCAAAGCTGAGGAGCCTAGGGCTTTGACTTGCACCATAAGCCATCCCACAGCGTTGATAACGGGAAATGTTTTTGATGGGAAACATATCGAGTTGAAACGTGTGCTTCTTAGAGATAAGTTTTTCGACGTAACAGAGAATCCTGGAGAGACTATTAATTTTTCTAATTTGAATCTAGGAGAGATTTGAAAAAGCTCTAATGTATAAGATTTTTATATTTTTTATTTTTTTTTTAATAGGAAAAATTGGAAGGTATGGAGATTCTCTGTAAAAACTTTTTCCTTGTTCACCTGAACTAGTGCAAGGTGTGAACTATGATAACATTTTTTCCTCCTAATTCCTGTGACAATGGATGAAACGCTACTCAGTTGACTTGAACGATCCTTGGAAATTGACGACCACAAACGGTCTCGCCGTTTCACCTTGTTCTAACGTACTTTGTCATATTTTGTGCCAGCTTCCTTTACCATTATTCGACTTCCATTTTTGAAAATAGCAGAAATATTGTTAATACACATATGTACTCACAAATAAGTCTGTAATAGATACCACTATCAATAGGAATCAGTTTGTTATAATACTACACCAAATAAGGATTTTCAATCTAATTTTTAGATAACAGATTAGCTATGGATATCTGTACCAGTTTGCTTATATTTGCGACGAAAACTTTTTTTTTACAATAACCGTGCTATAGTTTCATCTTATAACCATTGCAACAAACCTATGTATTACATTACATTTTTTTAACAGGTTCAGACAATAATAATAATGGCTTTTCGTGGCAGTTTTTCAATCTAATTAGACCTTACCATTTACAGTTTGTATACCACTACTGTCAGGGTCCCTCTCACAGTCATTTTAAAAATGCAAAAAAGCCTAGAACAAGTGTCTTACTATAGGGACTCTGATTGCTACCAGTAACAGTACAGTTTAATGTAAAATGAGTTTAGCCATAATAAAAACCTATACCCCATAAGTCTTACTATTATTTCATAAAAGTAGTGGAGCTCCTTGGATGTTTTATGTTGGGACCACCGAGGTACCGCGACTATTAAAAATAAGGTGCTACCGTCTTGATCAGCCGATTTTTGTACTACATAAGATTAGTAGAACTGGAAAAAGTATCTTCTGGTAGATTGATCCACATAGAAGAGAGCTCTTAGGAGCAAACTTTATTGGGATATCAGTAGAAGAAAGCAAGACTATAAATGGTTTATTTACGTAAAAAGCTTACAACTTGTCAAAGCGAGTATTAGTTGGGTAGAGAGCCCGAGGCATAATACGAGGGCCATTTTTACAGTAAGGATGGATTGCGAATCGTGACCGCGCATCGTGTCACTTGACGTCCTTTCATCCTCAGACACTAGTCAGTCTTCCCCATTACGTTTCACGCTGTTAGTTGTATCAGTCGCCATGCCAATCAGTAAACCCACCTATTGTCAGTAATTCTGTTTTTAAACGCAAACAGTTCCTCCTGTTGAAATTGACCAGCAGCTTGATGAATTAGGCCCGCTGTCATCCATCATATTATAACGAAATCACCGTTTTTAGTGTCCAACGTCTAATTTAATACTTTACACTACTTTATAGCTCTTGCAAGTAATTTATGACGTATTTATAACCATGTCGAGTGGACTATGTTGACGCGTCTGTCGCTGTCCTTCCTCCGTATTTACCTATATTTATTTCCGTATCGACGAGTAGCGAAATGTTACAGCGTGTTCCAGGCCGAGTCGCGGTGGCAGTAGATTCATCTCGATGCTCCCGACCGTCTATTGCAGCTCCTCCAGTAGACCGCAATGGATCACGCACAGCCGCAAGCTGCGATACATGATGGTGTAACTCTGGTTGCCTGATTTTGCGAGGGTCTCTTATTACTATTGAGGGTCCTAGTTACGAGGGCAGTACAACATGGTCCTAACTTAGCACATCAGACTTTCATCTTTTTCAGAAACTCAAAGAATTTCTTGGTGGAAAGGGCCTGGAAAATGAGCACATGTTGAAAGAAACTGTTAATAAATGGTTTAACGATTAGGCGGCACCGTGCTTTGACAACAGGATCCAAAAGCTGGTGGCACGATATAACAAATGCTTATGTTGATAGATGAAAAAAGGTTCCTATTTCCGTTTGTGATAAAATTTTAATTCTGAAATAAAGTTTCTCTTATTGAAATATATAACAGTTCTTACTTCAAAAATGTCCCGCGTAAATGACAATAGTATCAGCATAGCTTCTGCGACTGACAAGGCTTCTACTTATCGGCGTACCAAATTATATCTTTAGTGATTTGAAATCCAACGAGCTCCGTTCACCTCGTTTTTTAGTACAAAACCAGTGCGTAGCGACCGCGTATCAGCCATCAATGATACGAGGCCCTTAGCTTAAAAAAATACATAAAGTGTTTTCGCAATCTCACGGAAGTTTTTAGGCCGTACACTAAACTAAAAATTCTCAAGCGCTAAACCTTAGCTTATACGGCTAGAGATGGTAGCATGCTTGCTATTTTTAACCCTCTTTTCGAAATTAAAGGTATTTAAAAATATTTTAGGTTTTCTATGAGGTGACTTTGACTATCAAGCATGGTACTGTCGTCAGAGGCTGAACAAACACTGATATGTGTTGTAGAAATGTTTTAATAAAAGAAATCGGAAAAAAATAGTGCCAAGTAGATGTAATCGGTACTTCCCAAGCATTCAAGCAATAAGAAACGTGTAAATCAAATTTTCGGAATTTTAAAGAATTGTAACCTCTCCACAAAGATGTTTGATTACCAGTAAACATGGTTGCCATTTAAACTAATGATTATCAAAAATGAAGTAGCATTACCTACTCTACTATGACCCTGCATGGATTTACGTGTAGACATCGTAAAACAAAAAACAATTATCTGAATTTCTAAAGTTCTCTCCTCATCTCTTGCCGATGACCCACCCCTCTGATTGAGTTCCTGCAGACGCCCAAGGTCATTACGTGACAATTCATATTAGTCAATGCAAGCGTTCATGTCTCTTTTGTAATAATATATACTTCAAATGTTACCTACAGTTGCATCAAACCATCATTTCTTCAGTTACTGCAGCTGGGCGTATAACATAAATTTAATTATGTTATATATTTAATTTTAACGACCCACTATACAGGAGGTCCCAGAATTCGACGTCAAGCCGGAATCGGGGGATAGGCCAAGTCATAATAGCTATAAAAAATGTAAGTCGTGTACTTAGCAGCACATAAATGAGGTGCATGTTGGGGTATTATTGTACAATAAACACAATGAATTAATAAAAGTGTCTGTCTTGCTGTCACTGTCCGTCACTCCAAGAAAAAATTGGTAAATTTTTAGTAATGGGAACTAAAAGATCATCACAGGCCATAGATTTTTTGATTTTTTAAAAGCCTATAATTTCCAAACTACACGACTTAGATTTTTTATATTTTTCTGATAACTATTATGACTTGGATCTATTATGCATTGCTGCTTAAGGAAGGCAGTTCCAACATTTATTGTGCATTTAATAAATACATTGACGAATTAATAAACCTGGCGTTACTATCTCTCTTTCTGTCACTTCGTAGAAGGACACTGTCCGTCACTCCGTCTAAGAAAAAAATTGAAAATTGTAGTAATGGGAACTAAAAGATCATCACAGGGTATAGATTTTTCCGTTTTTTTTTCTAAAGCCTATAATTTGAAAAGTACACGCCTTAGATTTTTTATATCTATTATGACTTGGCCTATCCTCCGTTTCCGGCTTGACGTCAGCTTTTGGGACACCCTGAATAAAACCTCTCATTTGTACTTTTTTGGCCCATACCAGTAGTGACAAACCCAGCACCCCAATCTCCCACCCAGGACATCCCACACATGGGTCCCAAACGAGGCAGATTCCTGATGCGACAGCCCAGGATCAAGCGAGAATCTGACCCCAGCCAGGAACCACCTGATGGTTCGGAACCCATGGCGAGTACATCGCAGTACCTCACGGTACCACCCATCAGGATAGAGCGGCAATGTTCGGATCCCACACCTTCGATCAGTCCATCGCCTGAGAATTTGCTGCACGTACAAGAGCATGTGTTGGTCAAGCAACATTCGCATCCGTTACTGCCTACAAAGAGTCCAGAGGTAAGGCAAATATAATTTTTGATGTCAAAATAAACTTTAACATCATGATATTTCATAATATATACGAAATCTACCACAATAAGGTTGTTCGTAAGTATGACACTCACCTGAAGACAATGTTCCATAATATCATACCTAAGCCGCAAAAGTCCTTAATGCCGCGTTCGTGGATATATTTTTGCCCAAAATTGTACAATTGTTTACCTCTGGTGCTTAGAGTAATACATTCTCAATCAGTGTTTAAAAGTAGCTTGTCAAAATGGATTTTTTTCTATCCCTACATGTCATCTGCACGACTTTGAAAACGGGTATTTTTAAGCATAGGATTTTTACCTACTGTGACTGTAAAGATCTACACCTCTTTCATCTTTTGGAAAATTGTTAGTATGTCCTAGATATCAGTGGTCGCTGACAAAACGATCCTTTTACATTCAAAGTCTGATATATCCGCGCCAAATGATCACATCAAGATTTTAAAAACAAGATATCGAAGCGGAAAAAATGAACTATTATATCCATATATGACGGCATAACAGAAAAAAATTTCAATAACGCGGACCAAAAAGAATTAGGCAACATTTTCAAAAATTTGTTCTTGGGCCTGTAAGGATTGTATTAGAACCGTTGCTGCTAAAATCGGCTAATAAACGTGAAAACTAGAATCTTTAAGCTTTAAAATCCTATTTTTAAGTCTGGATACGACCATGCTTAACCCTAATACAGCCTGGCAAAAATCACCGAAAAAATTTGATGTTTTTAATGCTCCCTTAATTTTTTTTGAGTAGCGTTAACATAATTACCTTATGTGGATCTTAAGTAGACGAATTGTAGAACACACATTGTATAATTTAGTTTACATATTACAAAGTTCTCAAGTTCACGACAAAATATCTTTAAATTGTTAATTCTTTTGATGGTATCAGGGAGACTCATGGTAATTTTTCTGACTGCTATAAATTATTGAGTATTTTACAAGTGTTGGTTTAGGTACTACTAATTTAAAACCTTGTTTTCGTCTAATATATTTAATGTTCCAAATTTAGATTTTTTAAAAAGTTAGATACGACTATCATTATTTTAAGATTTGCAAATAAAGTCCAGCATGTAGCTCTAGGATTGCTTTTAGTTATATATCTACGAGTAGTAGTTCGTTTTTGTAGAAAAAGCACTTCTTAAACAATTTAGGGAACACACACACCTCAATCTACTTTCGAATAAGGCACAGTACGTTGTAACTAATCGTTCTTATAATAAAGGAAATATTTGCCAGTTGAGTAAGCAATTTGTCTACATGATTAGTAAGAACTAATTTATGATCATATTAACATTGAAAGTCAAATAATTATTCTCACACCATTTTTTGATTTATTTTATATCACTATCAATTTTTGTCTTGATTTTATTTATATCTGAGTCTTGAGAAAGTATTGTGGTATTGTCAACAAAAACTATTAATTTACCATTTATGTTTAAGTTTATTAAATCGTAGATATAGGCTAAGAATAGGATCGGACCTAATAATGATCTTGCCCCTCTGTTTAAATTTATTTTATTTGAAATACAATGTCTTGATAATCTTACAGTTTATATTATAGTCATCGGCTTTGTGGCTTTTACCTAGACAGTTGTGAGGTAATTTTGATTTATTCCATTTCACTTATTGTTTCATTGAACACTCAGTCCCAATCTAAGGTTTCTTAACAGAATTGTTTGTTTAACAATATTGAAAAATGCAATATATTGGAGACAAACCAATTTTTTTTAACGAGTACAAATCTGTTAATTTATTGCAGTGTGGCAACTTAAGATCTAGTCACTGCCCCATGGTAAGAGAAGGACCAGCCTTGAGCTGTAACTTCTGTTGGAACACAGTGGACAACCATGGTCGAATATTACGAAGGAAAACGAAGTACCACTGTCCTGAGTGTCAGACGAATCTATGTATTGTTCCCTGCTTCCAGGTAAAAATAGTATTCTTTTTTCATTACTAACCCTTATTTTATAACATTCCATCGAGAAGTTGCTTGTCACTGACTTTCTCATTAAATGTCAATATTTACGGTGGCGATTTTCGGGTCCATTTTAAGAGGAAAACTTCATATGAAGGTATGTCCTAAACCTCTAAACTTTTGAGATGCTGGATGGAACAGTTTTCAAAAATAAATCGTTTATTATTCATATTTGTAATGCCAGCTTAGACATTTTAATGAAACTTGGCATACAATGTATCAAGAGGCATTTTTTCATGTACTACTTTTTTGAATTTTCACCAGTGGCATTCGTACGGAATTTCAACCAAGAGATCGAATCTGCTCATAAATGAAGACATATTTAATTTTTTTACTTCCTATGTCAAAACTTGCGAGGAAGTGTATATGATCCGCTAATTTTATAACCGCTTGTAACTAGTCCGCTGGGATTTTGATGAAATTTTCACACAATACTGCCACTATACCAAGGATGAAAAAGCTTAGTAGTTTTCGAAAATTGATCTAGTGGTGGCGGAGAAAAAGACCAAAAACGAAAAAAATAAAAATCATCCAAACTTCGTTTTTTGACGTTTTAGACCAGAGTTCCCCAAACTTTTTTGTGTCGTAGACCCCTTGCCATGTTTTTCCGTGTTGGGTAGACCCCCTACTTACCTGATATTGATTTCCTGTAAATTTCTAACTGTAGTGAAGTTTAGTGTTAAAAACTTAAAGTAAAACACATGTTAATTTATACATTTATTAATTGATTTTAAATTAAAACTGCTCAAAATAAAAAATTTTATATTTTATGTAAAATATACGTAACATTAAATAAACAGGTGTCTGACCAATAAGTGCCCGCATAGGGAATAAGTGCTATATATTAAAAATATTTTTTGATTTTTCCGAAAACATTCCATAATTCGAACATCTTCTTGCAACAATTAGCTCGAATTACGGAGATTGCACTGTAATTATATTACCGATTGCTGAAACTTTCAAAAAGAAACTATTGAGGAGTACTCGTGTAATTTTGCATGATTGAATATTTAACTACTAATTTAACTACGAGTACAAAACTAAAATTTAAAAAAAAATAATGTACTTACTTTTCTCCAGCACTCTCAAACAAAATAACACTGACTCACTATAATTTGTGTGATATACTATCTGTTTATATTTTTTTAAATATTTTCTTAGCACTTTCTTTTTCAAGATTCAGGAAACGAATAAACGTATTTGTCTCACATTCGTATTTATAGAGTGACGAATTGAACAAGTCAGTGCAACGTAGCGAAGCTCTGAGACTGCGACTCTCAGGTCTCAGGTTTTTGCAAGTTCAAAATGTATTGCGACCACAAAGCGAATACCAACATCCTAAAACTTACACAATTTTATAAACATATATAATAAATTTTTTACTTCATAGGTACTTTTATAAATAATGTATATGTTTTGATATTATAAGATATAATAATAGTATGATGTAAGTAAATAGGTACTATCAGTGTATGTGTTGAGATCCACTATCGTGGACCCCCATATTCATTTCATGGACCCCCAAATTTTTTTTCGCTGACGTAGACCCCTTGCAGGTTGTCATAGACTCCTAGGGGTCGATATAGACCACTTTGGGAATCAATGTTTTAGACGATCCTGATCATTTTCGGAAAATTTTTTGAAGGGGTTAAAAATTGGAAGTTATAGCTGATGGATATCAATGTTTTGACGTTGGTTTATCTATACGCCTCCAACCCCAGTAATTCTACGCACATATTAGGCATATTGCACGTATCATAGATGTACTCGTATATTTACCCTTAAAACTTTGAAATATCTCCTACGAGTACAGTCGGGTGTCGGTACGTGCGACGGATCGACGAGCGACATCATCGGGGGTCGTACGTTACAGTCGACAATCGCTTCCACACTACTGTAGGCTGCGTTAACTGTGCATGGTGAAGGCCAATATCGTCATTCTTAGGTAGAAGGTCATTTAATTTTTTGTTATACATGTTCGTGGCAAACTTTTTTCTCAGAAGGGCTATCTTGTGCCAAACATAATCCTTTTCGAAATGATGACAGCGTAGCGTGGGAAGTAGAGTCAACTTACTTGACGCCATTTTTTGAATATTATATGACATGACACCACGAGAAACAGTGTCATTCATTTCCGTCGTCTGTCTATCTCTCGCTCTGTCCGCTAATCCTTGGACCGCCTATAACTTGGAAAGTACTGATCGGATTTGGATGAAATATTCACACAAGGACGAAAAAGTTCTGTAGTTATCGAAAATCGATCCAGTGGCGGCGGAGAATGTGGTCAAAAACGGAAAAAGTAAAAATCGCTCAAACTTGGCTTTTTGACATTTCAGAGGGTGCTGATTGTTTTGAACTAACTTGAGGGGTTAAAAATTTGGGGTTGGGTTTTTTTTGATGTTAGTATAATTATATGCTCCCAACCTTGGTAATTCTATGCGCCTATTAGATTTTACCGTACATTTGCCTTTAAAAATATTCTCAGCAGACGGATCGCGTATCTATCGACCGCGTTAGGTTCTGCTCCCGGCAGCGTACCGCTCTTTGTAAATGTTCTGATATTACTGCCGCATCTTGAGGGTCTATCTTGTGCCAAACATAATCCTTCATGAACTGATTGACGCCATTTTTTTTATTACTAACCGAAGAAATCACCCTTATTGACTGTAGTGTCCCATTGAGAAGCAGCTTTTCGTTCACTATATAAATGAATAATGATAACAAAAAACACCTAGGTACATAACGTATGTCGTTTTAAATTGTATCATGTTAACTGTCTCATGTCATTTCTACTACTACTACTGATGTTTCGAAATATTTGAAATCGAATGAGAAATAACTAATATTATGTATCAACGTATTCCATATGAAGATGCCCAAATAAATTAAAATACACATGCACTAAATAGGCCTGAATACCCTAACGCCACCTGTGAGACAGTAGCACCCTAATTCTTTTCACAGTAGATTTTTAATTTCATTTGTGTGTTCTGCTACTGTCTCACGCATGGCACTGACGTAACAAATTTCAGATTCCTCTTTGAGTTCCGGTTCTTCAGGAAGAATACGTTAATCAATGATATAATGAAAATATTTAAATCTTGTAAAATCGAATATGAAGTGCGAGTAGTGAAAGCAATTCGACACGTATCTCTTTTCAGGAAGGCCATTATTGATCTCTTACATTATATCACCCAATAGTTTACAAATCAACCTAGATGTGTAGTGTATTATTTTAATAAAAGTCGTTCATTATTATTTTTTTAGTATCCTGCAGTTTTCATGTTCATAGGGCTCCATTGTCTGGCCGAATTAAACCACATGTATGTTTACTGTGCGATATTTCGGCCACCATGGTGGCGTTTTTCAAGTACAAAGACAATAATTGTTTATTTTGTTTATCTGTCTACCAGGTAACAGCTCAGCATTATTACCTAATTATTTATTTTTCTTCTCTTCATTCCCATTCGATAGATTGAACGGTGCAGCTTGCCGATGTTACAATTTCACATGGCCGGATCTAGCACAATATTTTTTAAGGGGGAATATGATGACTTTGATAAAACCCGCTCAAAACAGTTCTGTGTTAGGCCTCAGAATTGGGGGTATCGGCGATTGAAAATTGAAAAGTGGGGGGGGGGTCATCTACTGCTTCTCACAGAGCCAGTGTTGTTGTGATTTTGATAAGTGAAGAGCAGGCTGGGGGTAGCAGCGGTTCATTATTGATGAGCGGGGCTTCTGCAAATTAAAAACACGTTTAGCATTTTTAAACTTGGATATTTCGGGGGCTCCGGACACCTCCCTGGATCCAATTGTAAGTTGGCACCGCGTAAAACCAGTGTAGTGTGGTACAAACACACTGTATAAGAGCAGAGGAATGACCGCAACTACCTTGCAGTACCTTGCAACAAATATTTAACAGAATAAAGTTAAGCATAAATTAATATGTGTTCTATTTACTATGGGGATAAAAGCGATATTACAATTTATTACACCAGTAAAGCCCAGGATCGCCTGGTTTGATTTGGCCAGACACAGGAGTCCTGTATTATTTTATTTGTTTCAGGAATATCACAAATGTCCCCGACCGAGTAGTAGTGAGCCTCAAAGTTCGACGGTGGTGTCATCACCAACAGCACAGACGAGCAGTGTGCTTCAACAAGGAAGCCCAACTAAAACGTTCCCAAAAAGTAGTTAGACGGTGTGCTATATATGTTTGTAAATATATTTAAGTAAATATATATAAATATGTCTATGTTACCGTTCTGAGTTTCTGTTCCAAGGAATTTGTTAACATAAAATATAGGGGGAAAATACCTGTAGGTTTTCAAAAAAATAGGGCGGCGCATCACTTTGGCATTATTCGATACCCATATTTGGAATCAACATCCCAAATTACCACAAAGTAGACGCGTAGACGTAAGCCTAAAGTCCGGGGCACGTCGGCTGCTATGGGGAGCATAAAGAGGTTGATCCAATTTTTGAACTGCCTAAGGTTAGTAGAGGTGGGAAAAGCCTCCTCCTGTAGATTGTTCTCCAATCTCCTCAGTCAGATTTTTCTACAACCTCGACACCCTAGCGACAAAGGAGCGGTCGTAATGGGCAGTTCTGGAGGTACGAACTTCAACATGGTTAGCATAGGAGGCCGAAGCCGGTCTGACATCGTGGAGGAGAGCTTTGAGGAGCAAATCCCATTGACATGGCGGTAGAAAAGAGCCTGATCGTCGGTGCGAAAGGGTCCCACGGCGGTATGTTACAGAAGAGACATCGATCTGTCAGACAACACTTCTCTGAACAGCAATGAGCATAGATAATTTAGTCTGGGCGGCAACATCCGAAACATGTGAGCTATCGTCGAGGCTAGGTTTTATCAGGGCCTTGTACAGAGTAAGAAGGTTATGTGGAGAAAAGTACCTTTAAACTCAAACAATAGCGTCGCTTTTTCCCAGCAGCTTCCACGATTGACGAGATGTGCTTATGCCATATCAAGTCCTCGGTGATCTCGACCATCCGAAGTGAACGGCTGGTAGAACTTAGCTATAGATCGAAACGAGAACTAGGATGCAAGGTGCAGTAATGTGTCTTGGAAGCATTAAACTGAGGCAGATTTTTGCGTTCTCAACGTTAGGGAGAAAGTCGCTGCTAGTCTTCTTCTCTCCAGCTCGCCGGCAGAGATCGCCTTGGCTCTCTGAATTCATGCATCAAGTGCTGTTATCGGCAAAGCTGTGGATCTGATTGATTGTACAGGAAAGGAGGTTGATATGAAATAGCAACAATCTCGGGGTCCAAACCGATCTTTGGGGAACACCCGCGTTGACATGGTGAGTTTAAGAGAACTTTTCAATTACGACGGATATCTTGCTGCCATTGAGGAAGTCAGCCAAACATCTTTAAAACTTCTCTGGGAGGCCATAGGATGATAGTTTGCATAAGAGAGTAGCATGCCACAGCTGATCAAAAGCTTTCGTATGAAAAATCGTTTGGAGGTTACAAAACGATGTTATAACATAGAACTTGGTGCTATACTATTTGTTGGCGGGGTGGATAAGTAAAAGAATTTTAAATGCGATGAAATTTTGTTGTCACATCTGCCGTTAATATCCCCTGGATACACAATATACAGGGTGACTTTCGAGTTGAGTCATTTATTTTAACAGCGAGTAGATCTGATCAAGAGAAATGTTTTTTCCTATAACATTTTTCTGGTAAAATTAAAGTAACAACGTTATAGAATAGAAGTTTGAGTATCGCCCTGTCTCAATAATAATATTATGCGCTCGTGTTTGGTAACAAGCCCAGCTCTGCGTCGAGCAAAACGGAAATCATTTCGAACAGTTTTTGTGACATGCTTTTGGGCGCCCAGGTCCGCACTGAAATACTTGTCGGGAGGATACTTTATAAAACAAGGTAATTTTTTTTTATTTTTACACACATATTTTGGTTTATCTTCCTTCTACAATTATTATCTGAAAATTAATGACTCAACTTCAAAGTATTTACTATTATAAATTTTTTCCAGTATGAGCATAAAAATCATATAAACGCAAAACGAAAAACTGCCTGTTTTAGTTCCTCATATGACACCTTACATTTATAGAAAAATTGAAATCCTCACTGAATGAAAAGTCAGTCGAATCACCCACCTACTAACAAAATTAAAAATTTGAACGAAAACAGCGAATTTGTTTCACGCTTTCGTAGAGCATATTTTCTCACAAGTATAATGCCGTAAGCATATTTTAGTAAATCACATGTAGTTGCGAAACGAGGGATAAAATTCGACATTTGATCTACCACAATATTATGTACCTGCCTTCATAACTGATGTGTGAAAGTCCAGTACAAGGTATCAAGCTACACTTTGATTTACTATAAAAGCCCGTATGCGCAAGGTGTAGGTACTCCAGTTAACAGTAACTGTCATTAGCATTTACAATGGCTTTAGCGGTAAGTTGCATGTTTATATCCTAATAAGCTTTATTTTTTTCTTCCCATGTCCAGAATTAGATTTTATGTTTTTGAATACATGACATGTAAATTACGGAAAACCACGTCACTCATTTTAGTCGGTCAGTCCGTTTGTCCGAATACAATTTGGGAAGTGACGCTCGTATTTTGATAAAATTTTCACACAAGTTTACTACTATGCCAGGAACGAAAAAACTTCGAATTTGAAAATCGATCCAGTGACAGCGGTGCGGACAAAAAACGAAAAAAAAAATACTGCTTGAGGCGGAATTAAATTTTCCACCTTTGTACAATGAAAGTCGTTATCGATAAGCTCTAATATTACCGCTTAAAACAGACATACGATTTGTCTTAGTTACAAATTCTGTGAATCTGCAACCAAAAACTCATTCCGAAAGCATTTTTATGTAAGTGAAGATACTTAGCCAAGTTTTGATTCCTTTTCAATAGACTAGATTCATTCGTTTTTTTTTTCTTGTTGTACATGAGCGTGTTTTTTCTAAGAAGGGCTAATATATGTCCTATTTTCATTTTGGCAGTTACTTCTAAAGCAATACGTTGGCGTAATATTCCATAATTCCATAAATTATATAAATAAAAATAAAAAAAAGACATGATCATTTTCGGACTGTTAAAAAGATTCCAGGCGGCAGACTACATATCTCACATTCAATTGCTTTGGTTTTTGTTGAATCGTAGCACATATAGGTTTGGAAGTAAACCGGACATACCTGTACTTAACCTAATTGATGACAAAATTGCACGTGATACGTGAAGAACAGGGCCAATCTACTTTTGATACTTTTTTTCAAGAATTGCACAATGCACATTTTTGAGTCCTCCGATGTTCTGTTTTCTGTTTCGAGTTACGGGTGTCAGAAAAGCGTCTGATACCCCCGCAAATGTTGCGATCAAAAGGATCAGGATCCTTAAGAGACATATCGCCCCAGAAAAATAACAAGTTCATTTATAAAAGTTTTGCATTCCAATATTTCAAAATATTTGTATTTTCAAACTCTCATTAACATGTTTCTTTTTATTATATTGTACTTTTTCTTTGACAGCGTAAGGTTCAAAATTTTATCATTTTTGTCTAAAATTGACCGATTTCCGAATATTTGGCTTACTATTTTTATATGAGCGCAACATTTCCTACTTTAAATCTCTATACATACATCTGACTGTCTATCCAGTGTGTCAGCATCATGTCTGAAGTATAATACGAAAAAAGTGTACACTAATTGGTACCCGAGGAAGGTTATAGGCATGTAGTCTTATACTAGAAGTCATCGTCGATTTTGTAATCGGGGCAAGAATCAAAACCTCCACCGTCAGCGTCAAGCCGGCAAGAGCTCGGCCTGCCATCGTCCTACTCAACCTGTGACCGCCAAGCGATACATAAGTTTCATTTTGCACTAGATACCCGCAATTTCGTATGCTTGAAGCTGTTACAAAACTTTGTTTTTGAATAATGCTATAAACTTCCGATAGTAGCGTAGTAAGACATAAAACATACACAAATGAAAGTGCGCAGCGCATTGCGCTCTCACTAAAAACAAAAATGGATACTCAAAATTACTATTTATATTTTTTGTTTTTTATTGTGAGCGCAGTGCCTCAAAATTTTTATTTTTATATAAGTTTGTCACTGTGTCGTATTATTCTGAAGTAGAGGAAGTGCTTCAATAGCGCGCTCATAAAAAAGTAGTAGTTTTCAACAAAAATTCCAAAAATAAACGAACATTTTAAAGAACAGCCAACCACTAAATTAAAAACGAACGAAAGTTTGAAATATGTTGAAATATGACAGCCTAAAGTGCCATCTTTTACCAGAATCTACCTCTGCAATAGTGTATAGCAGCTATCGAAGGGAAGTAAAATGTAGTGTTTGATAGGTCACTGACTACTGTGACCGCTAAATGCTGACGATTCTAGCGGTATAGTAGCAGTGGTCTACTTATCGTTAAACAACTGCTGACGCTAGCTTTCGTCCGTTCAACCAAAGACAGACATGGAGAGCTGTTTCGTGCTATGTTTAGTTGTTCAATGGCGAGTAGACCACATTTACTATGCCGCCAGAATTGTCAGTTTCCAGCGGTCACACTGCTAACCGGACTATCGAACGTGAACTGTGATCTTCACGAAATAGCTGTCTATGGTTTGCTGTCTTTGGTCCGATAGATGAAAGCAGCATATGTAAACGTTTAAAATACGTATCTACTGAAGCATTTAAATGAAAAACTATTATAGATGCATTCTTTTTCTTTTTTTTATACCATGTTCTATTTTGCCATTATGTCCTTGGAATTTGTATTTTTTTTGTTCTTCTCATGCCATCGTATACTTTATATACATTTCCGCACTAGCAGTTAAGTGTAAGAATAGCCCACGACTAAACTTCGCCACTAGTAAGAAATACGAATTTATTGTTATAAAAAAATTAAAAAATCTCCTTAGGTACCCGATCCTTTTCTAATACAAATTCTGTTCCAGGTGATCCTTCTATCAGCCCTGCTTGCCACAGCAGTTCGTTGCACCGGCACTGGCCACGGCGTAGGATACTCGTCGCACGTCTCACACCCAGTGGTGCACCACGTACCTGCGGTAGCCACCCACCACGTTCCAGTGGTGCACACCCACGTCGAGCCATACGACCCGCATCCCCATTACAACTACGCTTACACTGTCAACGACCATCACACCGGTGATTCCCATAGCCAGCACGAGTCAAGATCAGGGGACGTAGTTCATGGGGAGTACAGCCTGACGGACCCAGATGGTCATAGAAGAACGGTTCACTACACTGCGGATCCTCACAATGGGTTCAATGCTGTGGTTCACCGAACGGCTCCTCATCACGGATAGATTTTTGGTTTGCTCAGTTATTCATTTGTCATTATTGATTTTTGAAAAGTCTTTGTTACGTTTTCGAAAAGCGATCGTGAGAAACATTATAGAGAGAAATGCGGTTTAGTTCTTTTGTATCTTGAAATGTATATTTTTTATACTGAATAGACGTTACACAAATATCAGTTTTGTTTAAATTTCCCATCTTCTATCAGAAAAATTGCGTCAAGTAGATTGACTCTAAACTTAATACTCCTTCTTGACGAAGGTTACAAGTCATTTCAAAAGGCGGAATATAATCTTGACTAGGCAGGTTCACTTACGTACGACGAATCTTCGACATCTACATATCAAACTATATAAACATATTTCTGTTTCCATGGCAGATGTAGGGAAAACGTGTGACTAACAGGTGCATAATATTATCGGAATTAGCAGTTCCTTAATATTAGTGACTTACACCAAATAGAGCCATAAATACAGTCATTTACCGCATCCAATATTCAACCCCTCCAAGCAATGTTTGCAAACGAGCAGGCAACCCTGAGACTTTATAATACATTGTTCCAGCGATTTTTATTTTTTGTTCGTAGGCTCACCGCCACTGAATCAATTTTCAAAATCTACGACAACCTCAACCTAGACGATGCAAGTATTAAGCTCGAACTTGTGTTTGTCATTTATGTCAGTTTGTCATTCCGTGTCTGTTGTATATTGTGTTATAATGTAATAAATACTGAGTCAATCTACTTGGACGAAATATTCAGAGAACCATCATATACTGAATACAAATTAAAAGTTAAGCGAAATGGGTGGGTACATTTAAGGATCATAAAATTAAGAAAAATTCATATGTAGATATAAGAACAATTAGATATCATTTACAAAAGCTTCAAGGGCGTCGCCGGCCAATGGCCCAGAGGGAGCCCATATTCGGAAAATTCCTAAAATATGTAAATACTAGAGGTATGTCCATGTTGACATCGAGTTAGTTGCCTATTTATTGCGGTTGCTACAGTCGCGCACGCAACGCCAATTGAAATTATGAAGCACATTATATCGGAATCAGAAGCTTCTTAATTGTAGAACGTCTTTGCCTCATACTATAGACAGAACATTTACAATCTCTGAATTTCTCTTACAAACAAATTTTTCGAAAATGATCAGAAGCCTCTTAAACGTCAAAAAACGAAGTTTGTGTGTTTTTGACTTTTTCTCCGTCACCCCTGGACCGATTTTAAAAAATTATAAAGTTTTATCGTCCCTGTCATAGTAGTAATATTGTGTAAGAAATTATTAAAATCCGTGCGGTACTTCTAAAGTTATAGGCGGTTATAAGATTAGCGGACAGAGACGGAAATGAGTGACATGACATTTCGTGAACATCCAAATAACAAAATATCTCATTTTCGAAATTTTTCGCGATTACAAAACTTCAACGCCCAGGAAGTAAAAAGATCATTAAAGTGAGACCCAAATAGCATATAGGTACACATGGTGACTCAGGAAAACGTAACAATATTTCTAGGGTAGAAAACCCATATAAAAACAAATAATTAGGTACCAAGTTTCAGATGTTACAGAAACGATGAACTTCAAAATTTAAATTTTAGTTACATTTCGCATAAAAATGATGTGTAACGTCAAAACTTGGAAACAAAGACTTTTCGAAGATGCAACCATTTGATTTTATTGAAATATCAGAAGGTACCCAATTCAAAATGAGACAGCTCAGAATGTATCCCAGTTCGGATTTGACAACTGTGGCCGTCGATTGTGACGGTATATTATATGCAGGCTACTCGCCATTGACCAAACTAGTAATATAATAGATTAGTCCGATCAAAGATAGTCAACCATGGAAAGCTACTCCGTGCTTTTTGGCAACTCATCAGTATGGTCTCAGGAACGTCAATGAACGAAAGCTGGGAAGCTATCCTCTATCCAGAGTATAAGGTCTATAGAACTGAGACAGCGCAAAATGTCATCTACTCCCATACTCGGCCCGTGCGAGAGTGAGACGGCAATCTGTCAGTAGAAACTGTATATCAATTCGCATTTGACAGCCGGTCATCACTGTGGACTCTGTATGCCCCCAATTTTAGCGGCCTACTCGCCATTGAACAAACTACACTAAACGGCTACTCCATGGTGGTCGGACGAACGAAAGTTATATTACTGGTTTATATTATACAACCTTCAATTAAAAAATCGACATATACCCTAGCGCCACCAACTACTTATGTTACAAACTATATACCCCTTCAGGCGCTAGCGTTGCCAACTCTCGGACTTTTGCTGCAGATTACAGGATTTCGTATACGAATACGATACGAGGGCTTAGGAATATTGAGAGGTGGTTTTGCTTAAAAAGTTTTTTGCTCATGTGTAAAAATAAACCATTTTCTATAAAAGGAAAATGTATTTTTATTACTTCCGAGGGAATTACTTTTCAACATGGCTGTAACGGTGGAAATTCTCTGAGAACATACAAACAATACAGATTAGAGTTAGACATATTCTTGGAGGATACTTTGATTAATGGAGAATATTCATGATTTTTTTGTATTTTCTGTCGATTATTTACGCTCATACAATACCGTAAATACATATTTCATTCAATGAGTTTTTAAATTAAATATTTAAAGCTGCAATGTCAATGACGTTGATTTAAGGTCTATTCACACTCCACCATGACGTGACAGTGCCGTGACGTGCCAGTGATTCTCGCTGACGTGAGCTCACAGTGTTTTCAATTCACACTGGTCAGTATTTTTTTCCGTGCTCTGACAGTGCAGTTGTGTTCACGTGAGGTCGAGAGCAATTTTCAGGGGATGAACTTGCAATTATTTTGGATTTTTTTATACTCCAACTACCACGAAGGAGTAAGGCCTAAACGCCCATGGGGTACCGTGGTGCTATGGGGGGAACACAGGGGAAAGGGGGGACGCCACACGGACTCTGGCGAGGGAACACGAGTGCACATTCTGGTCCCGCCTACGAGATCCGCCGGGTGGTACATTCGCGTTCGACAGTCAGAGACCATCTACCACCTACGAAAGTTGAAGGAGAAGAAAACGGAAGTTCTTGTATTTTGAATTTGACTGGTTCTACAGAACGGGATGTACGCGTACAAATTCAATTAGTTCCTCATCATTGAGGCTTTTGACCAATTATATCAAAATATTCACGAAATAACATAAAAACACGGCCGTGAAAATCGAAAAATATCGTTCCAAAACAATGCGATGATCACGGTACGGCGTCGTCTAGGGCACTGAAAACACGGCCACTTCCACGTGCCGGTCTAATGTGAATGACGTGCCGGTCACAGCAATGACACCTCACGGCTGAGTATGAATAGGCCTTTAGACACCGCATTTTGAGCACGCTACGTAGTGACGTGATAGCTCTTGATTTGTAGTTTTCACGAGTATCCATCACGCTTTGACGTCTAATGAGGTAAACACCTGATCAGCAAGTGACATTTTTGTGTTAGTCTGCAACGTTGGTAATAATGAATCGAGTGTAAATTTAATAAAACTTGTTTGTAGCGTTTTGTTTTTTATATGCAAATGAACTTTTCTAAATAAAATTGCTTTTAGCAAGTACAAAATTACCCTGAAGTGTACAAATAATCAAAAAAAAAATATGGCTCTGTCTACCTGTCCTTTGCGTATATGGGTAATTTTGAAATATTATTACCTTAATGGATACTCGTGAAAAATATTGTATATACAGTGAAAGCTCCCATAAGCGGACACTCACGGTTCCGTAACTTTTGTCCGCTTATGGGAGGTGTCCGTTTAAAAGAGAGTATGTAAGTATAGAGTATAAATAACGGGGTATATAATCATGAGGAAATGAGGTATTATAATCATGAGAAAAATGAAACAGAAACTCGACACATTTTTAAAGTATGTATTTATGCTATATATCTATATAATATATGTACATATACGCATACAAAAACATAAATGCTTCAATACATGGTACGAGAATTTTAAAAAAACATTATTCTTTAGCTTGTTGAAAAAAGTTTTAAATGTTTGTCTGACGAAATTTCACCATCTTTTGCTGAAGGAGACAATTTTCGTAATAACTTTCTAAATTTTTCAAATGTTGAAATGCAGTGAAATCATCTTTTTTCAATATAGAAATATGATTTAGAGCTTCCCCATATGAATTTATCGTTTTTGAACCGCTTAGTGAGTCCACCAGTTCCACTTCTTCTTCTGAGTCGTTTGGACTACCATATTCAAGTTGGCCTGGGCTTTCTACATCCAAATTCGAAAAGTTGCCAATGGCATTTTCTTCTGTTGTTATGTTATTGTCTATGGCCAGGAAATCATCTACTTTCTGGGGATCTACTACTCCTAAATGTTTGGCATGTCGCAGTAACTGAGCAAGTGTCGCTAAGGGCAGATCGTCTTCAGCATCGCAATAATTTTGCTCAGCAAATTCTGAGCTACATTCACTTTTTCTGAATCCAGCTTTGCCAAAACAGTTTTTAATTGTAGAGGAATTTACTTTATTCCATGCTGTTTTTATAAAATACAAAGCTTCTAACACATTGATAGACTTTGTAAGCTCAGATAGGCTTTGACCATCGTCAATTTTTGTTAAAATATGTTTTAAAATCAAGTGCCGATAATAAAATTTAAAGTTCTGTATGACACCTTGATCCATGGGCTGACAAACAGAAGTTGTGTTTGGCGGTAAAAATATAATTTTCACATTTTTCATTTTCATATCACGAGGATGAGAGCATCCATTGTCTAAAAATAAAAGAACTTGCCTTTTTTGGATTCTCATTTTCCGGTTGAATTCGACTAACCACTCAGACATGATTTCTCGGGTCATCCATGCCTTTTTGTTGGATTTCCAAGTCGCTGGTAGATCCTTAATAGCAACGTTTTTTAAAGCACGGGGACGAGCCGCTTTCCCGATCACAATCAAATCGCATTTTTCACCGGCCATATTTGCACAGAATAAAATGGTTAGTCTATCTTTAGACAACTTTCCACCCACACATGTTTCTCCTTTAAAGGACAGAGTTTTGTCGGGCAATGCGCGAAAAAAAAGTCCACTCTCATCTGCGTTGTACACATCTGGTTTGTAGCCAAGCAACATGGACGGAAGTTTCTCCAAAAATTGTGACACATCAACTTGATCTACTGCAGCAGCTTCGCCAGATATGCATTTGAAACTCACACTATGTCTCTTGCGCCACATTTGCAGCCACCCGTCGGACGCACTGAAATTATTATAGCCCAAAGTAGTGGCGATTTCTTTAGCTTTCATTTTCACTAACGGCCCTGAGATTGGAATGTTCTGACTTCTAGCTTTCACAAACCACTCAAAACATGTTTTGTCTATAGCAAAACCTTCCTTTTTTAAAAAATCCTTCTTTTGATTTATATTAGTTCCTGATTGCCATTTACTCCTGATATCTTCCTTATTTTTGGCAATTTCAGCTGCTTGCGTTTTCCCAATATTAAACCTCTTTGCCAAATGACGAACTGAAACACTTTCTCTGTCTAATACGTTAACAACTTCCATCTTTTCCTTTAACGAGAGCATCCTTTTTTTTGGTGCCATTTTACAGTTACAATAATAAAATACGTAACTCAATCAACTACGAATTTGCCTGAACTGAAGACAAGCCACAAGATTACATACAGGCTACCCAACGAAATGCGTAAATGGGGAATCACCTAATATAAATCGGGGAATTACCGAATTTTATGTATGTAGATATGTGCATTGCAATAAGCGGGTATTAGAGTTTCGCGTCCGCTTATGGGAGATTTTTTGATCACATACAGGAAAATCTAGTGTCCGCGTCCGTTTATAAGAGCGTCCGTTTATCGGAATGCATTTAACATTGAAAATTGATGGCTGAAATTCGGTTCCAGGAACTTTGTCCGGTTAAAAGAGATGTCCGCTTATAGGAGCTGTCCGCAAGGAGAGCTTTCACTGTATACCCTATTTCACGAGTATCCATCACTGTAGAATGGCAGCTGGTTATCTAGTAATATTTCAAAATTCCCCATATCGGCAAAGGATACTTAATTCTGATGGATCCGTCAATGCCAGGTAGACAGAGCCATATTTTTTTGTTGGTTTTTTGTACGATTCATTTTGTACTTGCTAAAAGCATTTTATCTAGAAAAGTTGATTTGCATATAAAAAACAAAACGCTACAATCAAGTTCATGCTAGATTTACACCAGATTCATTACAATGTTGCAAACACAAAAATGTAACTTGCTAATCAGCTGTTCACCTCAGTAGACGTCAAAGCGTGATGGATAGTCGTAAAATAGGGTATGTACCATCTGTTGCGAAGTATTTATAGATTATCAGCATGAGCTAGCGCGAAGCGCCAATTATCGCATCAGAATCGACCATTGTGGTTCGCGCATCGCTATTACCAGTTGTGTCACGTGCCAAAATCACGTATCCTCTTTTTTTACTATTTTTCACTTATCCTTAATTTGAATTTCTCTTCATTGATAATAGAGTGCCCATTACTAGGCCAAACCCTTTTCAATGATTTTCTTTTTGCAAATTTAATAGTTTATTGATTGTGTAATTTCACTCGTATTATATCTTCCTTTCTCAGCGATTCAGTATGGTGTTGACGATCAGCAAAAAACCCTGTAGTTTTTCTCCGTTAGTTGGCTTCCTATAAAACATATCTTCTTCAAGGCCACTCAAGATTCCTTCCTCTAGAACGTTACGTATTCTGCGTGATTCGCTTTTCAGTTTCCGTTGAGGTCGTGGTGCAGGGGTCGTTTTGTCGTTTTCCGGACTCTGGGATATTAGGCCCCAAGCGCCCATTCATGGACTAGCACCCTTTTCTTTTTGTTGTATAACTTAAGTCTAGGTATTTTGACTTGGGTACTACGCCTTCCATTTTTTTTTATGGGATTTTGACCATCAGCGGTAAGTTCTTTTTTTATATACCTTCGGACCGCGTACCTTAATGCGTGTCCTGATGACGTTCGTTCAATATCTGCTTTCTTTTTTTCTCCCCCAGTCAGTTGCATCGTTGCAGTTTTGCAAATTGGAAGCCATCCCCTTGAAAAAACCGATGTGAACATATTAATATCATTCTAATTAACAATTTCTTAAATCTTTATACATTTATTATTGCTTATTGAAATTCTTAGAGACTTCTTGATTTTATTAGACAGTCTACATATTCAAATATGAGGGCAGTGCCTACATGGCACCTTCTATTACATTGATCATGATTTTGATTTTTGAGCTGCCATAACTTTTTAGAACAGGGGTATATTAGTTTATTACATTTTTATCTTTTTTTTTTGCCTTTGCTTTACTTTTCTTATACGAAAAAAGTGCACATGGTTTTGCTTCAAGTGCGATTGTTTTCAATGAGTAGTTTTATCTCAGACAGAGAGTAGAGTAGATTTTTAAACAGGATTTCTCTCTCTCTAGGATTTTTTTTTGTTACTACCATAATTATTGGGACCGAGGCAAGCAGCCCTGTCCAGTGACGTCCCACTACTGGCCACTTTTTTACCAGATTCGAAGACTTCCCGGCCGCGCCTGACAAAGAAGACCTACAGATAAGTTCAATATTTAGGCGCAAAATATCTGTAAATACTTCGAGCGTATACCATGGTAGACGTTTCACGAGGTTATCTCGAAAAATAATTTTGTCAGGTCGTATTTAAGATTTGTAACATACTTTCCCGTTTTCATTACTCGCACTCCAGTGGTGGAGCACATGTGCGTTTTTTTTAATCAATATATTGTGATCCATTTGATATCTTGTTTATTTGGCTCTCTCTGTGTGTACTGTTACTTAAATTTCGTCATCTCTGTTAGATTCTCCTTGTGTGGTGATCAAGCAAAACAAGTTCCGACTAACATCTTGGGGAGTTGCGGCTTAATCCGTTCTAAGTCACTGGCGCTCTTAACCCGACCCTACTCTCCGCGTTATTGAGCTAGGGCCAAAATTTGCACGCCACTAGACAACTGTTTTGCTTGGACCAACCGTTAGATAATATTTATCATTGTGTTTTATTAATTAACCAAAAAAGGCGTGGCAGTTGGAACTGTCATGGATCTCAGTTCGCGTTAAGTAGAAGTGGTCTACTTGCCATTGAACAGATTAAACAATATGCTTTCGTCCATCCAACCAAGAAAAGAAGGCAGCCAACCATGGACAGTTTCGCGCTCTTATGCTGATAAACCATACCTCCGGTATAGAGGATCATTGTGATGCTTCCCTTTGTTCGTCCAGAGATAAGCGACCAATCCTATACCATGCTGATGAGTAGCTAAAAAGCACGAACCAGCTGTCCATGGTTGGCTGTCTTCTTTTCTTGGTCGGACGGACGAAGGCGCCTTGTTTAATCTGACTTATAGATTATGTTTATCACTACAAATTTCATTGGAATGCTGGAACATCAAGCTGACAAGCTGGCAATGAATGACAGCGAGAACAAACGCTTGCCATTTGAAATCGGTGCAAATGGTAGCGTCACGCCAATAGCGTTGCGTTTCTACATTTTACATTTACAGCGTAGCTTTATCGATTAATACTCGCAAGTTTATAGCGCTCAAGTATAAAATAAGGTTGAACCCGTCATTCTGTAGGAATATAAACTGTAAATAAAATTAATCAAGCGATTGTGTTAACACTACACAAAGCATTACACGGGTATATGGTCAATGGGAGTATAAATGAAACAACCGTTAATATTTATATTAATCTATCCATATATTGACAAAAATACAAAGTATTGCACTTCCAATAAATAATATCATTTCCACAAATTAGGTACTGAAATACAAAAAGTTAAAAGTTCACTATATCGGAATCACACTTCTGATTCCGATACAATGAACATTCGTTTTATTGCGGGTTTCATGGAGTTATTGTACGAATATAACAAAAAATGGTAGTAATCAGTAAAAATGAACGATTGTAAACAACTTTTGTAGAAAGTAACATTTTTGTTTGAAATAAGTAGATGAAAATTGAAATGTGAGGTGAGCAAACGTGATTATCTCTATATTTTCTTTAAATGTATATGTAATATTCTATTATACATTTTTTTTTTTTGTTAACATCGTTAGCATGAAATATATGTTTGATGCAAGGCTTTTTTATATAAGTAGAAACAATAATACTGTGTAAATACATATTTTAATATCTGGATAATGAAAGTACATTCATGTACAATTACAAAATGTCATGTTTTCAACAAAACAAAAATTACAAATTCCATACGACGATTTTCTCCACAAATAGGTGATTCATTTAAGACCAATTTTACTACTGATATGCGAGAATCAAAATTTGCGCCTAGGACTCCGCTCGAACAATCACGAGTTTTTGAAGCAGTGGATCTAAATCTATCTTCTAAAATATCTCTCAAACTAGAGAAAAACTATATGATTAAAAGAATGAAAGGTGAGATAGTGAAAATAAAAAGCGGGGTAAATTACTTGGGGGTGCAAGTGGATAAGAAGCAGAATTACATTAAACACGTGATACAATTGAGGAGGATTGGAGGGACAAAAGGAAAGATAAGAGGTATTACAAATAGGAATTTAGACAAATATAATGAAATTCCAACCTTCTGTATGAAAGAGTAATAAAAAGCGAAAGCTTGTTCTCGGGGGTCAAATATAGGGAGAAATGGTAGTGAGACAAATAAAGGCGACTGAAAGGATCAGTGGTCTTAAGACAGGGCGGAAATACGGCGACGGAAAGCATGAGGTAATAAATGGAATGGAACCGTTAGAACTGGAAGCAAACGCGAGGTGAATGCAGAGGCGTGCTAGAAGAAATGAAATTGCTGACCGTCAAGAGTTGGGTGAGGGTAAGCCTCATCAAACTTGGAACACATGTGCAATGAATGAAGAAGACAGAGAGGAAGAATTTGAAAGTGTAAATGGCAAATGTAGATGTTACTATAAAAGAACGTAAAACTGGTATGGAACAATGAACACAATCCCCATGCTTATCTGGCCAATAAAATCACATGTATTGCCAGAATCTTCTTTACGGTAAACGTGTCAGTCACAAAGGTAATTGAAGAAGATTCTGCCAATACATGTGATTTTATTGGCCAGACAAGCATAGGGGATTATCGACACACGATAAGTTTTAGATGTCACAAGAACAATGAGGTATGCATGGAGTGGATGGAAGGGATAGAGGGCGTATCATTCAATACTGCACAAGGAGAGATAGTAGCGGTATGGAAATGAATTTAAAAGGCAAAGTAGCATTAATGGTCGCCGTCGACAGTAAGAACGGACAGTCAGGTGAAAGTAAAAGAAATGGCGGCTGGGAATATGAGGGAACAAGATTTGAAAGTGGGGATTATATGGATTAGAATAATGCAGGAATGCTTAAAGCGGAAGATAATGCAAAATTAGGACGAGAAAAACTGGAGACAGAATGGAAGATTGCGTGGGCATATGATAAAAGAGAAGATAAAAATAGAATAAAAGATCAAGTAATTTGAATGGCAGAAAGGAAGGGAAGTATATGAGGTATACAAACAGAAGGTC